CGACAGAGACTCTAGAAATTTGAGAACTCTAGTTTGTCAGAAAGTGGGTAGAGTTTTCATTGAAGATTAATTCCCTCTGTCATTAATATAGAAAGAAATTTTGTTTGCACTGTTCAGGAAATGATTTATACATGTATTGCCTTCAGATAAGGCTTGACCCATACTGTCAGGGAACTTTGATTGACGATAAATTTCAATTGGCGAGAAAATGGTGCGGAATTCTTAGAAAGAAAATTCTGAAACGGCACGAGAATGACTGAAACTTCTTCTCTCTTAGACGCAAAAGAGGGATAATAAAACCGTATTTATAATTAAGATTGGATTAAACATAAAATTTAACTGAGTCTAATTCATTTATGGCATGCCGAATCAAATAACAGAGCTGCGTATTCCAGGTAATAGAATAAAAGGGTGCTAGAATATATGCCTCACGCACGCACACACGAAAAAGAAAGAGTGGAAAAAAGAGGAGAAATAAATAAGAAAGATTGCTCTTTAGAGAGTACATCAGGATTGTGGGATTAAAAAATATAAACTCTTTGTAAGAAGGAAAAATTAAGAACAATAACACCAGTAAAAGAGGCAAATTATGTGATTGCAAACCAATGATCTCTAGTCAATAATGTCTAGGTGATTTATTTACGTCAAATGAAATCTTAAACAGATAGTGCAAGTTATTCAAATGCAGTCACTGATGCAGATAAATAATAGCACGTTGCGTGCATTTTAGGGAGATTGAAAGTGATAGTTAACCCTTAATCTCAGCCACATAATAGAGACAGGTCTTACAGCAGAAAAATTGATAGAGATGGAGTTGTTTTATTACTGTGATCTGAATTAATGGATTGTACAATAGTTAAGTCTTTCATATTGCATTAAAAATAGTACAGAAAGGTAAAAGTGAAAAAACAAATGCAAGGAATTACGAGTTATTCTGAATAGGTGTTTACCAGACAGACAGACACTTGAATACCATGGATGTGTTCTTGAACGTAAAAATGGTCAGCCATATTTCTTTCCATATTATTATTTTATTTTGAGGAAGGAGGGGCTTATTCCACTTTTCAAAAAGAATAAACCTTAAAAATTTAGTTATTTTTATGCCCTACAGTTCTAAAATTTCAACTTTTCGTTTTACTTCAAAACAATTACTTTTTGTTATACGATTGTAAGTAAATAGCCTTATTATATTTGAATATTTTGTTACATGATATAATTGTATTTATATATGCTAAAATACATCTTAAAATTAAATTTATAGATTTTTATTTCCCCCCCCCAAATATTTGAATTCATATTTTAAAAATTATTTTGATTTTGTTTTACTTAAAATATTCCGGAATTAACAAACTTTGTCTATTTTCGGGGATGCACTCTTGGTTTAAAAAATCATGTACTCAATGAAACTTTAAAAACGCGAGCAAAGAAACAACTATAAGTGACTTCTTTGTCAAATTTACAGTATTCATATAGAAAAAAAGCGCAAAATGTGAACTCGCTGACTATTTTGTATGTATAGTTAAGTTTAGTTTTCACAGGTATTTAAAGAAAATGGGTACATCTCGAAATGCGTGCTTAAGAAAATAGAAATGTGTATTTAAAAAAAATGGACAAAGCAAAATATGTCCTTTTTAATCCGCACCCTAATTTTAAAAATGTAACAAGAAATTTTGTGCTTACTTTTACTTACTACTTACACATTAAACATAGTCATTACGGGTCAAGTCCCCGATTTCGGGGTGGATATTACAGATGTAACTTTTCAGGTGATTTCTTCGTTTTCAGAACTTTAAACGATAAACTGACTTTCACAAATATAAATTCCAACAATGTAAATTTACTACTAACATTATAAATTTATTATATACATACTGCCTATATACATATACATACTACCTATATACATATACATACTACCTATATACATATACATACTACTTACTATTATATGCATACTACTGTCACATACTACCATTATAAATTTATGGGACCCATTGCAATCTCGTCAAACAGCTGTCGGCTTTTGAAATCTTTTTTTTAAAAAACTAATTCAATAAAATGTACTAAGTGATTCTTACAAATTGATGATACCACATTGCGAATTTATTTGGATTCTTTAAGTTTATTCTTTAGAAAAAAAAAAAGCCACAAGCATAAAAGAAGTTTGACGAACTGTCTTTTGATAAGTCTTTTCCTAAATAGATAAGTCCAGTTCCTTGAACAACATCTTTCGAGCTAAAAATCCCACCTATGATATGTAGTTTAATAGCATTTTATTAAATGCTTCTGAGACATGTCAATAAAAATTTTCTTTAGTTTTGGGATCGAGTTCACTAAATATATTAGCTTGTTGAACAATACTTTTATTATAACTATTACTATCAAAAATGAATAGAAATTGTCTGATTCCATTTATGATCACTAAAATTAACTGTATAAAAAGGTGTAATTATACTCGAAAAAGTATTGAACGGCTGTCAAAAAAATAGAGTAAGCAGCAGTTTTGCAAGTTTCGATGTGCTTAAAAATATCGGTGCCAGCTGGTTGAACTGTGATATCGAGTAAGTTTTGAGTAATCAACCGTGGTCAACGCTCAAGCATTACAGCATTTTTTACACTTGATTATACGATCTTCACACCTTACTGCAGTTGCAAAAATTCCACATTGCGTTATGCAAAGCGATAAGATTATACAACTCTTATGAAAACTATTTAATTTTATTTTGTCTAAAAATTGTTTTCAAAAAGTTCCATTTTTGAAAAGTGGTTTGATAACTGATGAATGAGACGTAAAAACTTGATGATTTCCAGAGCTTCTCAAACGGCTCTTGTTTACGTTGATATAACTCATTTATTACTTTGATACATCTTTTTCAAACTCATCCTATTAATTCTTCCAAAATTATCTGTTACCATAAGAGTAAAAACACTGTGTTAAGGGATGAATGAACGGCTGACATCGCGTGAGAAAAGCAAGGAACAATGCAACAAATTATGAAGTGTCATCGTAGATGAGATCTGCGTTAGCTTAACACCAATGATCACTTGATATCTCGATTACTTTTATTAACCTGCTACTTGTAGCAATCACGGCGATTGTTCTTATTGAAGATGATATGTTTGGAATATCTTTCCTTGTCTCCAGCAATCAGTATATTTAGACAATAAGGGACAAGACGTGTCATCGATTCAATCTGAGGTAGTGAGGTGCGGCTTTATTCTGAAAATTAGTCATCACACGAAAAAATAGTCCCAGCAAAGAATTCAACTCATAAAATGCTAGATGAATATTCAACCAGCAATGAACCAGTTAACTAGGTAACGGATCTGATTTTCTTCCGGGGTTTTATCAACACTAAGCAAATGACTCAATAATTACTCTAATAATTTTTTGTTCAGTACAGAAGATCTGCGACGATTACTTCGATATAAGAAAAATATTTTGAAAATAATAGTTTGTAAAATGCTTAAGTTACAATTAGATGAAATAATGATAGAAGTTAAGTATGGCGAATTAAGCGTCGTCAGAAAAAAAGGTTTTTTTAATACGAATTTTTAACTCATGTGTAATTATATAAACACAATATCGTTATTTACTAGATAACTAATTTATAATTTAAAATATATTTTGTTTCATTTTAATATTTGAAATATATTAATTTGAAATTCCATTAAACACTGTTATTTAATTCTTAGGCTCTAACTATTTTTAAAAAATTTTCAAAGTTATTATAATAACTTCGAAAAAAGTTTTTTAAGTAATTAAAACTTTTAAATTTGGTAACTAGGCTTTTAAAAAATTTTTGCTGCTCAGTAAATCGGGAAATTGTATCCATATAACTATCCATAGGATAATTATAGGGGAAGATCATTTTGGACTGAGAAGTAATTCGAAATAAGCGAATTTTAATGAATCATTTGACAGTCAGCACTAGTTCATAAATCAGTTTTTTATTCAAAAATGTAGCTGATAGGGTCAAACAGCCAGCCGCAGCTTTCAGGTTCGTTAATTACAATGTGGACAGTAAGACAGGTTAGGCAGTTGTAGGTTTTTCTTAGTATTTTTTTCCTGTCAATAGCATGTTATTTACCATTGAAAACCTGAAAAATTAATTTATTCAGTAGTGTTTAATGATAATTAGATTGCCGACCGTGGGACTGATCAAGCAGTTGTAGATTCTTCTTGATATTTTTTTTTCTTTCTGTCAATACATGTCATGACATGTTATATATCTTTAGAAACCAGAAAAATCGATCTAGTTAATCGTGTTCAACCCTTCCGGAAAAAAATATCATTAAGTCAATGCGAGTACTTTATGTAGAATATTTTAAATTAAATTATTAAAGACAGGGAATCGTTTATGGAACTGTTTAAACTGCATTCGATTATGAAGAATAAAAAAATTGAGAGTTTCCTTTATAAGCCTTTCCATTAATTTCTGTCAAGTAAATGTAAAACTTTTATTTAGCATTTATTTCATCATAATTTGTAATTCGTTTTTTGAACATGAAATAGGCTTCAAACCTATTCATAACGGGTTTAAACATTATTAAAGTAATTCTATCGTGAATTTAAAATTGCTTCAGTGTTACAAATTAAATTTTACAGCTAAACAAATTTTATTATCAGCTACTATATGAAAGTAATTTTGTATCCAATTAAGGAAACAAGGTTAAGCTTCAAACTCTGACGTTGATACATTAAACTGCATATCATGCTATATAAAACACGGAAATTCTTTTTCGAATTACTTTTGAAATCAATACTTTTATTACAAATAAACAGTCCCTCAACACATGAAGTATTGGTAAATGTCCTCTCTGAAGTTCCCTCGTAATGGTACTTAATTGGAGAATAAAATTTTTCACACGAAACATTGTAAAGAATAGGAAACCAAATCTAGAAGCGTATTTGCTTTAGAATTGCAAGTCAGTACCACAATTTGTGAATTCATATATATAGTTTAAAGGGATGGAACAAATTCATATTATGAGGGGCTGCGGATGAGAATAGTAGAAATGGGGAACATTGTTGGAAATGTTGTATCATCAGTCACATCAGCGACTATAACTCTATTGGTTAGGATTATTCTCCCCCTCATATTTACATTAGCTATTAATAATCCAAAAACAACGAAAAATATTAAATCGAAGTATGATTATATCGTTGGTAAGTAATATTTGCATTTGCAGTTTTTTTCGTTCACGAATTAAATGATGCAATAATAAGAGTATTCTTTTTTAATGTAAATTGTAATACTCAATCAACTGCTTAAAAATTTTCCCTTTTGCACCATCATTTCTGCATCTAATTTTTATAAATTTTTAAATAAATCTTTTTTTTTTTAAATTTTTAAAATTTGTTTTCCATTTTTTATTGAGTTACATTGAATTCTTAAAACGAAATTTGCTTTACGCAATTAAAGGTGTTAGTTGTCATTTAGACGATTTTCTATTCTTTTCGTAAAAATAAAGAAAATATTTAAAAGTCAAACTTCATTCATTAGATAAGTGAAATGTACTCCCACTGTTCAGCTGATATTACTTAAATTCCCTAACCTCTCTGAGGAATTTCCTATAGTTAAGAGAATGCCATACCGCGGAAGAAAATTTTCGTCGCAAATTCTCTTTCTCCTTTATTACTTATTTAAAATTGCGAAGAAAGAAAAAGTAAGTTCTGGCAAATATAGAGTATGTGGTAAAGTTTCAATTGCTGAAAAAAATACTCCAAATATTAAAATGCAAACAAATTATTAGAAGATAAATTCTTTGCATTACCATCTCATATTTTATTTTTATTCGTATAAATTAAAAGTTTCTTTTCAGTATTTAAAACTTCATGGCTTACATCAACTCATCACCATGGCTTACTTCGTCATGGTCATCAATTATTAGAGGCAGTTGATCAGATATTAGAGGCAGTTGTCAAGTTTTCTTCCAACTCTACTCTATATCTTTGGAAAAAGATATTTAGATAGACTTCATCACAATTAACTGACCAGTACAAGTGGAGTTTTATCCTTCATAACTAACTGTGGTATCCTAACTGTGGTAACAGGTACAGCACATTTTTTCAAAAAATATTTGGCCATTAAAAATTAAACACTAGCATTAAATCAACACTGCTGGCAACTGAGACAAACATCACCATATTATCATAGATATATACTCCACAAATTGATACTGCATTAGAGAACATTGTCTAACGTCAGTATCAAATGTGAAAGAATAATAATAATAAAAAAGAGACGATGAGTGATATTTTAATAGCTAATTGTTTTCCAAAGTAGGGGCAGGAGCAGCAGGTTCTGTGATAGCAGCTCGGCTTTCTGAAGATCGTTGTGTATCAGTACTTCTTCTTGAAGCCGGTCCAAAAGCCCTTCCAATTACAGAAGTGCCAGCCCTTCAATTTTTCAGTCAAAATAGCCCTAATGATTGGGGATATAAAACTGTACCCCAAAAGAGAGGAGCCCTGTTTCTACATAATCGTGTAAGTGAAAATATTTCAAATAACTAAATTTAAGTTGTATAGCTAGTTATCCGCCAGTATCCTCATACGAGTAATTGCCTATTATACAGTTTTTTTCTCAATCCCTTTTTCAGAAAAGATGAGGAAACTGGCTGCACAATTAATATTACTGTTTAATTTGGGGAAATGAAACGTTTGTACAACGTGATACAGTAGTAATATAAAAAGCTTTTAAATTTGTAACCAAAATTACGGAATGAACGATTTTTTTAAAACTTAAAACGTAAGAAACATACTTACTTTAAATTTAAAAAAAATGCCTTTTTACTTCTTTTCTAAAAATACTTTACATATTATTTTAAACTGAAGAGTTGAGCAGTAATGGGTTAAAGAAAGAAAAAAAAAACGTTAAAAACGATAACACATTCGAACGAATAAGAATTAATATTTTTAAAAACTAATGGTAACATTTTTACTATATTTTAGAAATGTTTAAATTTAATTTACGTGTTAGTGCAGTATCAATTAATGGAAATTTATATGTTATTGCAAATCATCAATTGTTGATATAGTGCTATTGAGAATCCAAATGCACGAAAATATGCTGTTAGTAATTTCTTGAAATTGGCTGAATAGCAATTTATGCAATTGCTTATTCACCACATTCAACCAAAACAGTCAAATTAACATAAAAAGGATAATATGCAAACTGTTAGGTAAGAGAAAAAACGTAAATTCGATTCATTTTACCTAATACGGTTTGACAACCATAATTGCACCATCTAAGCCCAAATTATGTTCTGTGCAGCTTGATGCATACTATGACTAAGAAGACTTATCGATCTCATAACCAGCTGAACAGGGGTTCGAATCCCAGTATTGATGCCACGGTATTTCTTCCATTCCTTCAATACATGAAAAGTTTCTAGTATCCTGCAGTCTTAAATCGGTTACCCGAGACTATTAGATTACGAAACTTTCATTCACGCATAAATGACGCATCATCTAAATCCTAAGTCTATTTGAGTTTTATAGTTATGGTTTAGAAACTATGATAGTTGTAAATAGTTACAAAATCGTATAGTTTTGTATTCACAGTTTTTAACTTTACCAGTTGTAAACAATTTCAAAACCGTAAGGGTAAAGAAATGTTCTTGAACATGAAGTTTATGGTCAATCGAATGGACAGACAGCTGCCGGTTATTTTACCGTAACTTCAGAATGAAAATTCCAACAGTGTACATATGAGTACCTTCAATCGCTTTAAGAGTACCCTTTATGCATTCATAGCTTACTACAAGCACGCAGTTAAAGCTACCAGTTCGCTACGAATAACCGATTTAAATTTTTAAATTATTATTCAAAAATTAAATTAGTAGTTTATATAAAATTGTTGCTCAGAAATACAGCCTATAGAGACCATAATAAATCATTGCCTGGCTTTTATAATGTGATTGATTGTTTTATTTCATATATTTAACGACACAATTTTATCGTTTCTTATGTATGCAATCTTAACCCTTAAACGTTTACAGCAAATGGTAACTCCAAGAGGCAAAGGATTAGGTGGGACAACTTTGTTGAATTATTTTCTGTACGTGAGAGGAAACCGCCGTGATTACGATGGTTGGGAAAAACAGGGAGCGACTGGATGGTCCTGGAAAGATGTCTATCCATACTTTCTTAAATCTGAAGGCAACACAGATCCAAAAATCGTTGCAGATGGTACGAATAAGATTTGTAGAAATATCGAAATGAAATTTGTTCTCAGAGTAAAAAAAAAATTAGTGAATGTTGACTCCTAGATCTGTGCAAATTAGCTAGATTCTGAATAAGATGTTGAAATTTAGTTAAAGTTATGCGATGCTAATTAAAAATTCTGATTCTAAATATTATCACAAGAACAAGTGCAATGTTAATTATTCAAGTAATCGACAATATGGCTTAATTTGATAGTAAATTCATTCATCGGTAAAAAGAAGAAGAAAAAAAATGAAAATGCATAGCTTTAAAATTTGACAGAATCGTAGGAAAAAAAGCGTCTTGAATAATTAATTAAATGTGGCAGGTAAATAGAAAGGGTGAAAATTTAGTGCTGTGCTTGTATAAATATAATTTCTTCGTTTATGCACAATACTATTTGTTCAAGTAAATAAGGAAAAAAGTGTGAAATACAATATAAAATGCATTCTTATAAATCATTGATACTGAGACCACCATTCATAACATTTGTCCTGTCAACTTATTTTGCAACTTCTGTCCAACAAGAAACCAATTTAGTTAAAAGGACTCGTAGTGAGAAAGATGACCATAATGAAAACTACTTAAACTAATTTCCAAGAGTGAAAACTTTCGTAAGTAGTTTTTTTTTCTAATCAGTCTTTTTATTATGATTTTTGCCTAGTCTACTATATGTTATAAAAATTTACAGAAAGTTTTAACGATAGTTCCCTATTTCATGCCCCTTACCTTGTTTTTACCCTCCTCAGTTTAAAATTGTTAATAGTAGCTTATTTTCTTTAGTTGAAAAATGTTAGCTTTAAAAATTACAGCTGAAAAATTCATTGACAGCAACTATTAAAACCAACAATAATGCTGCACAAGTTACTAAAAGAAATTAATGTAACGAGTACAAAACCCGAATGTCACCGTTTCTTTGTAAGAGAATTTGTAAACTATTAATCCGCAAGCTGCTCCTTCTCCCGTTTTGGGAACACTGTCTTTTTTTTTTTTTTTTACATAGTTATGATGCATGATTGCTGTGGTAACCATATCAAGCTTCTTGACTCTCCCTGGATTTAAGATAAGCAACTGAAAACAGGAAACTCATTTAATTTATGCTAAAAATAAAATATGCGAGTCCAAAGTTATTTACCGATTAGTAGTTCATATATATTCGCTTGCGTGGAAAAGAAATGGTGACATTCGGGTTTAGCATTCTTTACATTCATTTCAAGGAATGAGTCAAAAAGATTAATTCTTAAGTGTAACAAAAGAAATGGTAAAAAAGTGATTTACAATATTATTATCTGTTTTTTTTCTTCTTCTTTTGGTTAGATCGAAAATTTATACTACACTTTTATTTAATAGCTCTTTTGCATGTATAATTGATGTTGTATGCTGTTGTTTAATTCTATGGTTTTTAAATGCACAGGGAATACTTTTATCATTTAAGGTTATCATAACGCAAGTGGCCCTTTGACAATTCAAAGTGCTCAATGGAGCACTCCTTTGATGGAAGCATGGAAAAAGGCAGCTGCCGAACGTGGATATGAATATAGAGACATTAATGGCGAAAAACAAACCGGTGATTCACAAAAATATTTTATTATTATTTTTTTTAATGAAGTCATAACAAATTGAAATCATTACCTTTTCTTTTCAATGAAGGATTTCATAAACTACAAGGATTTACAAGAAATGGTCAAAGATGCAGCACATCCAAAGCGTTTTTAATACCTGCGCAAGATCGTCCAAATTTAAACATTGTTACTGATTCTTTAGTCACAAAGGTACGAGATAAAAATTACTTATTTATTTTCGGGGCAAAAAAAAGAAAAAAACTTTAGTTTTTGGTGGTAACAGTTCGGCTTAAAAGTAAGCCAAAATTTCGCAGCAAAAATTCGAGTTGCAGCTAATTTAAGATTCTAAATGCTACATTGAATGACCAAAATCTTGAGAATGTCGACGTTCACCGTTGAATTTCAACAATCACATAGTCCCTTTGGTGAATCTCCAAAATATTTGATATTAATTTATTCGTTATATTATTATATTTATTCGATATTTTAATAACTGCTGAGGAGATATTAGGAGATACATCAGTGCTCTAAGTACTTATTAAGTGTATACCGGTCAGTGGCAATAAATCTTAGCAAAAACGTTGATGTTGGACGTACCTGCCAGCGACATTTAATTAGACCTAGCACATATTTCAAGCATTCACGGAAGTGACTATGTGATAGTTGACTTTCACCGGTGAATGTCGACATTCTCTTGATTTCGGTCATTCATGGTAACATATACCGTAACATGTTGCCATGGTAACATGTTGCCGTAAAGCAACAATTGGGCGTTTGAGAGGACAAACAGCTTAAATATTTCAAAAATTATTAATATTTTCTTAAATCGACCAATTTAGCTCGATTTTTGCAGCTACTTGGATACGTTTAAAATCATTGAATTATTTCCAATTTTCTTAAATTTTTATGATCCCAGACAATACCAGTAGGAATATGTGTTAAAAATTTACCTCACAAAAGCTTTTCCTTTTTAAAAAACTGCGGCTTTTCCGAACATTTTTTAAAAGTCATTTTAATAATTTAGATCTTGCACTTCAAGAAGAAGAAGAAGATCATGAATACCCACACATGTGAACCTATGACTTCAGTGCCAACTGAGAATTTATAATCAAGACGGCGTGTAGACGCTGAGCTAAGTTTCTCCACATAAACTAAAATGTTGATTAACGTGAAAATAATTGAAGACAGCACCGTATCGCAAATTGAATTTTTTAAAATTAACTTTTTCTTGTTTACTTTATATACTTAACTTAGATTTATTATTTGTTGATACATTTTATGTTAATCGTGATGTATTCTTATTTTTGGTACCTAGCAACTTCGATTTATAATTAGTTTGTTTATGTTCCACGTGACATCATGCCTGCCTTTATGTTGAGTAAGAAATATATAGTGAAAGTGTTGAAATCTTTGTGTAAGAATATAGATTATGCCGATAAAGAGAATTGACACTTGATGGGCCTGACTTACTCGAAATAGAATGGGAAGAACAGTTGCTGAGATAAACAAATGACACGTTTCATCAACGAATCAGGATCGAGATACACATACTACGTCACTTGCAGGTTTGCCATTATCATAAAGGAAGATGATTAAACATGAGCAGAATTTAACTTAGTCTATGACAATCGTTTGAATATCATTCTCTAAGAAGTGCTATTTCATGCCTTCCTGAAACAGTCTTAATGAAATTTATGAAAACTTTAAATCATTACAAATATATTTATAGATATTATTATTGTTTATAGATATTAATAGACAAAAATAAGAATGCATATGGAGTAAAATTTCATAAAGATGGTAAAGATCATGAAGTTTTTATTAACAAAGAAGTTATTGTGAGCGGAGGAACCATAAATTCTCCTCAACTTTTGATGCTTTCAGGAATTGGTCCCAGGAAACACCTCGAGGCAAAAGGAGTGAGTCTGTTTAAACTATTTATTTTTATTTCATTTCTCAGAAATAATATAAGAGATATCGAAACAAAATAAGAAATATAGAACTAATATAAGAAATGCAGGAATAATATCGATAGAATTTAACAATATGGAATCTAATGGAATGCCGCGGGAACGCGAAAATTATTTCGACTCAAACAGAGAGCATTAGAAGGAAAACGCAATGACTAGCAGGAACACGGACTTAGTGCAGGTTTAAATATGGTATTTTAAAAGTACATAATTCGAGTAATGACAATAAAAATATTGGGCATTTTCTATGATAATAATATGATGACACAAGATATTAAATAAGAGCTTGTTCATTAAAATAGAATATTTTTGTTTGTTATTTCTGATAATAGGGGAAGCTTCTAAATAAAATAGTTTAAGTTTCTGATTAATTGCTTTATTCTCGGAGATTTTATTTACAGAAATTTTCACTCTAATTTTTACGTTTTGTTTGAATGAGTATTAAACATTCGGAGTCTTACGTTTTATTTTATTTTATAACCGTCTTTGAAAAGTCGACCTAATATTTTAAGTTTACGACTACTAATGTTCAACTCCGTAGTCTTGTAGTTTTGAACTCTATCCAGAAGACAAGGGAACTCTTGGATGAATAATTGGGAGAAATTGGCCTTCGTGAAGCACTTTTTGATGGATGTAACCCGCATTTGCGTTACATGGGGAGGGAAACCAGGAAGACCTCTCAATATCAGCCTGACGGCAAGGAGACTCCAACCCATGACCCGTCTACCATACTGAGGATAGTTTACGTCAGCACTGTGGTCAGTTCAAATCAGATGCGAAATCGGTACTGATCAGCCATCACTGGGAATCGAACCCGGTTCGGAAGGAGAACGCTCTATCCCTCGAGCCATCTCAGTGTTATGTTGTCCTAAATCAACGGTATACATACATCCAAAGTTCTTGATAAATTTGTTATATTATTCTAAGGCAACTAATTTCTGAAAATTTTTATCGCCTGTTCAGAGAATTATCTTATATTTTCGTTGCTCAAAATGGGTTAGGGCAAATGCACCAATTTTGTAATGTTCGACCTGAGTTAGGGTTAGAGAAAAATCGGTACTTCAATTCCGTGAAGCCTGAACTCAGGTCCTTCAACGCATAATATATAATTTGCAATTTTCCCAATTTTAAATTTCTTGCGAAAAGTTTGGCAGTTTCGCACCAATTGCATGATATCTGTAATTTTGCAGTTTAAAGCACATGAAATTCATAACAATTGACGTAATTAATAAATTGTTGTATTAGTTTATTATATTTATTTTATGTGATTTATTTTTGATTCATCATTTCATTATTTTTGAAAATTATGTCATTTAATTTATTTTGCTACAATTTGAGCAAAACTGTCTGTGATCCAGTAGTAGTTATTTCGTTAAATTTTCTTAAAGGATCTATTTCTAACATTTTGAGGATAAGAAATATAATAACGGAGAAAAAAATTCAAGTTTTAGCACGTTTTCATCAAATAAATTCCAAAAGGCAAGAAGTTAAGCATCCAGGGATACCAGTGATTTTTAGATACCAGTAATTGAAGATTTACCTGTTGGAGACAATTATCAAGATCATGTAGGAACTTTTTTCTTAAATTTTGAAGCAACGGGATCCAAAGATACACTACAGCAATTATTGAGCAAACCAATTAGTAATCTGGTTGAGTACAACACAAAAGGAACGGGTGAGTGAAAAGAGCAAATCATTCAAATAATTTTCTATGTTCTTAAAAAGGTGAATTAAAGGAGAAATGATACCAATTAGCTGAAGAAAGCGTAGAAAGTTGCCTTGTTATTATTGATACCAATGATGTTTAATTTGATAGTAGTCACTACAGTCATCATGATAATTGGTGCTATTTTAATTAGTACTAAAAAAGAAATAATTGGTACATTTGGAAATTATAGCTGCACCTATACTATATATCTTATGCTAGATTTTTTAAGGCCCCTCGAAGATATACAGGAGAAAGTAGCTTGATGGTGGTAAATCTTAACTATTATTGGTCTCGCCTCGAGCAACAGTATTACATCAGATGATATTGAATACATAAGTTAAACTTTACTTTGATATTATGGACTACTAAATACGTGTTATGCCTAATCTAATAACGTAACGCAACAAATAATAAACAAAAACATTTGAATTATTTTAGCTTGGTTATTTATATCCGTATTTGCCTTACCTTTTTTCACGTGATTTTTTTTTTTTTGAGGTGCTCAGTACTGATTTATTGATGCTTATTTTTTTACCCCTAGAGAAGAACAGGTATTCAGCTAGTACTAAAAAAATGCTAAATGCCGAATTGAGGAAGAACAATAGGAAGGGTCTCTATGTTTTTGAGAGGGTATTCTTAGAGTCAAAAATAAACAAAACATAGCGAAAATAAGCAAATAGACGCAAAACAGTCCATTCAAGAAAAGCTCTGTTTATGTTCTTGATGAAAATTTATGTCAAATGCTTGTTTATTTCTTTTTATAGTTATAGAATTTCACTGCAATCTGATTTTACAACTAACTTTTATTTAAATTACAGGACCTTATGCAAGCCTCAACGGTATAGAAGGTGCTGCTTGGGTTAACTCTAAATTCAATGATCCATCTCTTGATTGGCCTGATTTAGAGATTCATTTGGAAGCTTTCTCGGCCTCGTCTGGTACAGGATTGATGTCTGGCAATTTCTTGGGTATTCCGCAAAAAGTACTTTTTTATGATTATTTAAAATCATTAAAACATAATAAAATCTCACGCGATTTTATTAAATCAGATTTCCCTGATTAGAAATGATAATTATTTTCTTTTGTAAACTCAGAAGCAAAATTTTCAAATTATAGAGAAAGATGTTCAATCGAAGACATTGAAGATGAAAAGTGTTAAGATACATTTTTGAACTTTAGAAATAAACAGATTTATATTGTTGTTGCTAGTAACGTCACTTGACAATACTTTCAGGCGCACTATTGGAATCCAAACTATTTTTGAGGCCGAAGGTGCGTTTTTTGTTTTTCAGTATCGTCATCTATGGCCAAACATACGACTTCAGCCACCACTCCAGTCTTTCCCCGTTTTGTAGGGAGGATTCATTCATACTCCATTCATTCATATACAGATCTAAATTTTGGCCTGAATCAGAAAACGATCAATCTCCAATTCAGTACCCCCAGAGGTATTGTGATTTGTTACGGGAAGCTAGAAGACTTGGCGACTCTGATTACCATTTAATACACGGGGATCCTTCAGGTGGTGGCATTAAAACACACGAACACGAGACTAGCCTCCACGCTATCTCTATTAAAACTGATTTATATTTCCATTCATTATATAAATCAAATTACATACATCAAAATTATTACACAGATTAAAAATATTAGTTGTTTAATTATTGTTGAAAAATTACCTCAGTAGCAGGAAAATTCTTGTTGGATATTTTCTACTGTATTGAAGTGAAACTTTTAGACGAAGAGGGTTATCACTCTTCCTTTCCGAAGTCTTCAGTATTGTAGACTTTTTCATGTATGCCTTAAGATACTAAATAGAGCGAGAGAGAGAGAGAGAATAAAGGAAATCGATTTTTTAATGTAGCAACAGCTAAAGATATGAAATAATTTTTAAACTCTGCAGCCTAAAATTGCATAATAATACTAAGCAATTGTTTGAGCTAAAAAATAAAATTTTAAAAAACAAATCTAGCGTAATTTCGATTTTCTTTAAAAATAATATTTGCAAGTTATGCTCAATTTTTGCAAGTTTCTCGGTTGCCAGGTACTCGTATTTTCTAAGAAAAGCTATACGTAATGCATAATAATGTTTTTCAGTTTCATTTTAGGTGTAGGATTTGAATTGTTCAATCATGTGAATACAATTTCCTCGCTTCTTGGCTTAGATAATTTTACTCTACCCCGATTGACTTTTGGTTATAACTATGTCGTTCAGTTGCAAAGCCGGCCATCTCAGAAATTCTTTTTCAGGAAAGGCTAATTTTTGCAACACTTGGCCAAGAGGATGTAGTAATCAAAACTTGTTGGTTTAACAAGCATTAAGAATGTTTGCTTTAAAAAACAATTTGAGAAGGCAGATGCCCGTTAGGACCGGCTATTAATTTTTTTAAAATTTAGTTGGTTTTGCAACTTACTTTCGAGCTGAGTGGTTTTGCTTCAAACCAAAACTAAAATTTCGTTAATATAAATACTGTTTAGATTGCTAGTAAGTGAACCAAATATTGCTAGTAAGCGAATGTTCAGTTCAGTTAAATTGCATTGAACAAAAATTAAAATTACATTCTAAATGAACTATATTTAAACTACTTCTATGTTATATTACTAGCACTTCAGAGAAATGACCCCAGTTTCGACTATATACCGGACATGACTGCCTCATGGAACTAGGAGTCCATGGAACTCCTAGCTCCATGGACTGCCTAGCCGCGCACCTGTTTCGTTTAGGGCTGGCACCTGATCCCTATTGTTCTCTGTGCATGAGCCAAGCTGTTTCGGATGGCGGCCACATCCTGTTCTGCAGGGCCCTCAGCGGGTCGTCGTCTACCGAGCGATATTGGGAGGCAAGAGCGCTCCTGAGGAAATAACTTTTTACTTTCTTGTTTTGTTCCTGTGTTTTTTGCTTTTTAACATGTCAATTCACCTCTGTCATTTGAAATAAATAAATAAATAATTTTTTTGTGTTTAGTTGATGGAAAAGTTTTTTTAGAGCCTGAACATTAAAAAAAAAAAAACATGATTCCGAAATGTTTGCGAAGATGGCAAGTTTTGAAATTAAACAAAAAAAGATAAAATATTAGTTTGTATACATTCGTAGGAATAAGATTTGTAGGCATCTCACACTGAACTCCCAAATCATGATGGTTGAAGTTGGGAGAAAATACGACGATTATCTTTTGTTTTTGAAGTGGATGATGTCCGACTAGGACGTTTCGTTAAATAATGAAAAGCTTTTTTTTTTGGCTATAATAGATATGAGTTATTTAAATAGTGCCAGTAGTATCCGAAGATGATGATGTTTGCTGAAATATAACTTCCTGAAATATATTTTTGTCGTATTTTGCATTAGGATAATAAAAGAATAAAACATATTTAGTTCGCTTTTTTATGCATCTTCTCAGGTGATCAATCAGGTCTACCTTCCATATAAGGGAAAACATACTTTCACGATGTTCTCATGCTTCCTGAGACCTTTCAGCAGAGGAACTGTAAGGCTTGCTACATCAAATCCTAATGATTATCCTCTCATAGATCCTAACACTTTCGCAAACGCAAGCGACATTGACCGAGTACAGGCAGGTAAGGATAAAATAACGTCCTTTTATTTTATCAACATTGCAAAGAGGTAAATGGTAGCTTCGCTAAGAAATCTAAACTTTTTACTTAGTGAAATTTTTTTAATTTATTATAAAATTATGCAATGACGTCACATTTATTATGATGTAGTAAATTTTGCCAATAGAGTTATTCTGTTCATTACAGTGCATATAAAACAATTAAATTGCTATGTATAAAACCAACTTAAGTTAAGATGTAATACAAAATCAATCGTTTTAAAAAGGGCATTATATTTTACTGTAAAAACTCGAAGTCAGGTAAAGGCTAAATTTCACCGGTTAAACCTAAGATTTACCAAAGTGGTTGGGTAAAAGTAGGAAATATGCTTTAATATCCAAAATATTACACATTTTTAGATTTGTTGATTTCTTGATATTTAATGCTAATATTAAAAAGATCAAAAATTTTGATTTCGACAACAGTGGGTTAAGTAAGGGTTTTCTTCAAATTCCCAAAACATAAACAATAATTTACAATAATGGAAGAGACTCTTTCAGCTTTTGGCGATTTTTTTAAGAAATTTCTCAAGAAATACACAGAGAATGTTGCCAGTGAATGAGCCTGCAAGTGACGTAGAGTGGTTATCTCGATCCTGATTGTTTGTTGAAACGTGGCATTTGTTTACGTTAGCAACTGTACTTTCCATTCTATTTAGAGCAAGCGTCAATTCTCTTAAATGACACATTTTAAATTCTTTCACAAAAAATCTTTCTCAAAGCTTTCAATTCCTTCAATATATTTTTACACAAAGACTTAACACAAACAGGCACGAAGACATAAACAAACTAATTATGCATCGGAGTTGTCAGGTACATAAAACAAAAATATATCACGTTTACAGTAAAATGTATAAGCAAATAATAAATCTACGTTAAATAAAAGAAGTATACGAGGAAGAATTATATTTCAACCAATTCGTTGTGCATGTATTTCTGTATTTAATTAACTTATCGTTAATTAACATTCTAACTTATGAAAAGAAACTTAGCTCCCATTTAATACACCATTTTGCTGATAAAGATCAGCTGGCGTTGATGTCATAGGTCACATGTGTGGGTATGGGAAGTCTTCTTCTAGAAGTGTAAGTACCCAATCGTCTTATAAATTATTTGTTAAGTCAAGCTATTTTTCATGCGTATCAATTAAGACTAAAGTTTTCAGCAGCTCGTGGGAAAGGTAATTTATTACGAACGAAAAATGGTGTTTCCGAACATCTTATGCTTAAATGTATAACAGTAAGCTTTTAGCTTGTATCAACCACTTTGGTTATCATGTGTAATAACTGTTTAATTATATTCGTAGATCATGGACCATTTTCAAAAGCTAATTATTTTTACTCTATGTTTTCGAACTATATTAATAGAAGTAGTAAGGAAATAGTCAAACAAAATTTTTGGAGTATTTTTTAATTAATAACAAAAATATCGTTTCAAATTTGGAAAAAAAAAATCGTTAAAAATTTCTCAAGATATGGTAATTCTTTCATTCTGCACTGCCAGTGGAAAACGTTTACATAATTTTGTTTTGAATCGTATTTGGTGACTTATGAAAAAGTAAGACGAATTAAGACAAAAAGATTTTCCACAAATTTCAATTTGGTTCATGAAGTAAGATTTATTGAAATTGATAATGGCGATACATGGAATCATACTCGATTAAACTATGCTTTATTTCACCCGTTTTCTTTCCTTATACCTTACTGTTCAATCAATTATAATAGGGTAGTATCTTTTGCTATTGAATTTGTATATCGACTTGAATATTTAAGCAGGATTTACGGAAGTTTATGTAGTTATTCCTGAAGTAATAATCAAAGCAATCGATAATAGTTACACGTTTATCGCTATATTTTCAGACATAAGGTATTGAAAAATACATTTTCCCGTTCGTAATGCTTGTCTCTCTCAAATTTTAGAAAACTTTAAATTTTATTGTTAAATATGAGAAATAGCGTGACTTAAACATTCCTAAAGTTATAAAATAATTATCTTAGCATTTCTTGAAAAATCCGAAAAAAACATCAAAAACTAAAAGTGCTTCTTCCATTATAGTAGAGAAGTGTGAATAGATATCTCATAAATTATTCATATTACAGACTAAACTAGACAATGATTAAATTTTGGAATTAAAGACAATTAATTTCAACTGAAATAACTTTTAATAACAGAAAAATTATTAATATTTACGATCTGCAATTAAAACTTTTTCTAGTGATATTGACTAGGAAAAATAATATTTTACGAAAAATTTTCTTCGGTGGCATTCAAAATCTATAGCATTGTTTTTAATTCGGATGATGATTACATTTAGAAATTCAAACAATTTTTAGATAAAAAATCGGATTGTTTTAAACAATTTCATAACCCAATTTCTGAAACAATTATTTTTAGACATAATATATGATTTATTTATATAAAATACTATTTAAATGAATGCACTCTTTCAAAGCAAATTTTTAAATCTATATTTCATGCAAAATGCAATTTTTATAAAAATACTTAATTCTACCATATAAGTTTTTTTTTGTCACAGTGTTGCAAGAAAATGTGGATATTGTTACTAAAACGAATGCTTTCAAGGAAATTGGTGCAAAATTATTTGAAACGAAATTTCCTGGATGCGAACAATTTGTAGCAAACAGTACGTACTATTCTCCGGAGTACTTAAGATGTATAGCTGTGGGTTACACATTCAATCTGTACCGTCCAGTTGGTACATGCAAAATGGGAAGTGCCGATGACAAAACTACAGTTGTCGATCCACAGTTAAAGTAAGATTTTAGAATTCGTTTCTTTTATTTTGTTTCCATTATTTGCATTATCTACCTTGCTTAATAAATTTTATTTTTAAGGAAAAAAATTCCTAAAAGATAAGATTTTTAATTTCGGTCATTAAAGTTAAAGGAAGTTTAAAAAATTTGGATACCATAGTTTCATATCCACCAACTAAATTTTTATGTTCTTAAAGTTACTTCAGCTGAATTTGAAAAATCAATTCATAGAATATTCCTACTCACAACAATATCAAAGAATCCGTACTCAATGTGATTCTGACAAAAAAATTTCGAGCATTCTTTTTCCACAACCAAAATTTAAACATATACTTTTTTCTTTGACAAACTTAGGTAATAAAAGCAATTTAAAAATACATTTTGAAGTTTCTTTTTTTTGCAATTTTAGTCTTAATTTATTTAGATAAGCTAAAAAAACGGAGATATTTTAGAAAGATGTGCTTTGTATCTTGCCGATCTATGAAGAATATTTAACTATGAAGAACTATGAAGAATTTATGATACATGACTAAGAAAAATTCAAAGAATCATTTTACAGTTTTAAAAATAATAAAATTTAAACGACTGAAGAGGCATTTAACATTCTTTTATGGTAAGGGCGTATAAAAATTCCTTTAATATTCAAATGAGTATTGTTTTAAATGTCTAAGCCCTTTAAAAATGATAAAGTATTCGGAATTCGTTTTTGCAAAACTGTCGTCTAATCTCTTAAGAAAAAAATCTAAGCAGTATCTAAAATCCTTTGCATTACTTCATTTATTTCAATTAAAGTGTCATAATCTTTTTTTTCATATGCTTAAAACAGAAAACTGCAAAAGATTTCCAATCAAATTACGGTAAAAGGTACTGCCACTCTTGGAGCAGCACTTGTAAAATAAATTTGTACCGAAAAGTTTTATACCGTAGATTTTAAAGTAATAGTTATGAAATTACAGTGATTCTGTGATTTTACTGCAAATATTACTGTGAAAAATACGGAATTTCAGAATATCATATATACCAGCCGGTACTTTTTTCCGTTAATTTGATCAGAAATTTTTCATAGTAAATTGTCAAATTATATTTCGAACATTGCTATTCCTCATATTTAATATTTTATGCAGAGCGCATTTCAATGAATTTTATTATTTATGAATATAGGGTTAAAGGAATAAGGAATTTGCGAGTGGCAGATGGATCTATCATTCCGAATCAGGTATCTGGAAATACTGAAGCACCCATTGTCATGATTGGAGAGAAATGTTCCGATATGATCAAAGCTGACAATCCTGATCGGAATAATTGCTAACTAAGTGGCAGAGAATGCTGTAAAATTAAGTTTAAGCTTTTTGATTTTAATATTTTACCTCTCTATCAAAAATTGTTTTTTTTTTCCTTTAAAAAATATATCAACTACTATTTTCTGCAGCAAAAAAAAAGAAAGAAAAATGCATTCGTTTTTACAGTTTAATTCATAAATTTTCTTAGTTTTTGTATCTGAGTGAATAAATTTTATTTCTGATTTTTCAGTTCTGTTTTGTTCATTGTATATAAAATCTGCAACGAAACACTTCACGTGTTATGAAAGTTGAACGTGAACAATTGTTTGTTAAAAAAATACTACAAGTGAACTAACGTATAATGTAAGACGTAAAATGAATCAGGTTGATACACTGCAAAAAAGTCGGGATTAAATTACGTTATAAAGTATCGGCACTGTGAGTGCAAGGTCTGTAAAATCAATTTTATCAGCAAAAAATCAAATTACAGTAAAAATTACGGTACATCAGTTTTTTCCCGAAACATATTCCAGTGAAAATGAATTTTAGAGTAAAAAGTACCGGCGTCGAGAGTCCACATACTTTTATCCGTAATCAGATCCGGAATTTTTTGCTGTGTAGCCTAAAGTGGTATAGTGAAAGACCACACTTGTACAGATTTTCTTTTATTTTTTACCGCTGCTATATATGTCATATAAGAAGTAAAAGTAATTGGTAGTTCAATGTTGGAAATATTAGTTGTCAATTAGCATAAATCTGAAAAATAAAAATTTTCTTATTATTGAAAAAAATTATTTTTATTGTCGCAACATTTTTCAATGAATATTAATAATTTTTTTTTCTTTTTAAATTGGTAATTTGGAAAAATTTCTGAATATTTTTACTCAGTTTTACTGAGACAATAAAAATAAATGCAAAAATGAGGCTAAATAAGTGTAAGAATGAGGCTAAATAAATTTTTTATCAGATATATATTTATTTATATAAATTTATATAAATTATGTGAAATTATCAGAAAATTTATTTAACTATAGTATTATTTTTCTTTATTTTTTTTACTTTTTTTAGTTTAATTATTATTATAGAAATCACATTACCAAAAANTATATATATATATATATATATATATATATATATGTATATATAATAAAAAAAATTTAAAAATAATATCAAAAATAATTAACAGCTGATTGAAATGTGTTGCTAGTACTACAATGAACGGCTCGTACTATTGCGAAATGCAGAATGAACCAAACAATGCTAAGATATGACTTTGAAAAAATTAAACTGCTTGTCACGCTATTATGACGTTGATAGATTAAACTGTATACTGCATAGCATTCTAATTAAAATGTGGAAATTCTTTTTTGAATTAATTTAGAATTAATAACTCAAAATGTATTACTCTTCGAATCAATTACACTTTTATCCAAAATATACATGCGCTCAACACTTAGCGTATTGTTGAATGCCCTTTCAAAAGTTCCCTCATCATGATATTTAATTAGCGAATATAATTAACATTTAATGGGCATTTATAATTGTTCATAATGTTAATTAAATATAAAGAACAGGAAACCAAACTTAGTAATTACTGTGTATTTCAATTTAAGTATTGTAGAGGGCATAAAATAGAAGAATGTTTATAAATTATACGTCAGTATCATATTTTTTACACTATTTCGTATATTTAGAGCTCTCAAAGGGATTTAACAAATTCATATTATCAGGGGCTGCGGATGAGAATCGAAAATGGGGAATATAGTTGGAAATGCTGTATCATCAGTCACATCAGCTACTATACCTCCATTGGCTAGAATTATTCTCCCCCTTTTAATTACATTAGCGTTTGATAATCCAAAAACTACGACCAATTTTAAATCGAAGTATGATTACATCGTAGGTAAGTAATGTTTGCATTCGCAGTTTTTCTTTGTTTTACAAGTGAATTGATGAAATAATGAGAGTATTACTTTTTAGTTGAAATTTAGATGTTCAATCAATTGCTACAAAATTTGCCCTTTTGTACAATAATTTTCTAACAAATTTTTATAAATTTTTAAAGGATTTACTTTTAAACTTTTCACTTCGTTTTTTTATTGAATTCTCAAAAAACAATTTCGTTTTTCACAATTTAGGGAAATATAATTTAGGCAATATTCTATTCTTTTGATATCTAAGCAAAATACTTAAGAGTCAAACTTTATTAATTAATAAAGTGACACATACACCCACTGCCTTAGTTCACTAAACTCTTTCAGGAATTTCCGATAGTTTAGAAATATATATTAAAGGCAGTTGTAAAGTTCTTTTCCGACTCATCTCAATATCTTTATAAAAATATATTTAGACAGACTTCAGCACAATTAACCGTCCAGTACAAACGGAGTTTTATCTTCCAAGCTAGTATTGTATCCAACAACAGGTACAGTACAATTTTTCAAAAGATATTTTTCCATTAGAAAATAAGCACTAACATTAAATTAACTCTGATGGCGAGTAAGACAAACGTTATCTACGAAAAATACCCTTTAATTGAAACTGCAATAGAGAAAAATTCATCAAAATTGTGTTGTTTAATATCACTATTAAGTGTGAAAGATTTAAAATCAAAACAAAAAAATAAAATAAATTTGTTATTAAGATGGTGAATGATATTTTAATAGCTAATTTCTCTCCATAGTTGGGGCAGGAGCAGCAGGTTCGGTGATAGCTGCTCGGCTTTCTGAAGATCGTTGTGTATCAGTACTACTTCTTGAAGCCGGTCCAAAAGCCATTCCACTAACAGAAGGACCGGCCCTTCAATTTCTCTCTCAAAACAGCCGGCATGACTGGGGATACAAAACTGTTCCACAAAAGAGGGGAGCCCTATATCTACTTAATCGAGTAAGTGAGATTATTTCAAATAGCAGAACTAAGAAGTTGGTTAGCAGGCTATAACGCAGTATCCTCATGTGAGGACATGAAGCAGTTTTTATCTCTCTCTCTTTTTAGTAAAAATTGGGAAAATTGGCTTTACAATTAATATTACTATTTAACTTGAGGAAATAAAACGTTTTTATAACGTGGTATATTAGTAATATATGAAGTTTCTAAATTTGTATTCGAAATTACGAAAGTACGATTTTTTTTAAAGTTCATTAAATAACATAAGAAAAAATACTTTATTTTAAATAGTTGCATTTTTTTTCTTTTGTAAAAATACTTTAAACATTATTTTAAAATAAAGAGTTGAGCAAAACGTTAAAAATGATTACATACTCGAACGTATAGGAATAAATATTTTGAAAAACTAATGGTAACTTTTTATTATGTTTTAGAAATGTTTAAGTTTAATTTCCTTGTTCGTGTAATTACACTTAACGGAATTTCATATGTTTTTGCAACTCCCCAATTGTTCATATAGTTTTAGAGCGCAGCACAATGCACGATAATATACGGTTAGAAATTTCTTGGTAAAATTGGTGAAATAGCAATCTATATAATCTCCATTTTACCATATTTAACCAAAACAGTCAAATAACCATAAAAAGATTATATTCAAACCGTTAAGGGCGAGAAAAAACCTTAATTTGATTTTTTTTACCTAATACGGTTTAACAACCAGAATTGTATCCGCACCAACTAGACCCAAATTACGTTCTATGCAGCTGGATACATAACTATAAGTGAGCGAGCTTATTGATCTCATTACCAGTTGTACAGGGGTTCGAATCCCAGTGTTGATGCTACAATCTTCCTTCCATCCCTTCAATGTATAAAAAGTTTCTAGTGTCCTATATTCTTCAATCAGTTACCCTAGATCAGGGATGGCGAACCAATGGCACGCGACACAATATTTTGGGCACGCCACCGATCACAAATGTTATTGCACTATGAATTGTTATTACACAAATGTCACGCACTATGTAACAATTAAATTAAAATTCACAAAAAAATAATAAACAATTATTAATAAAAAAATAACAATTAATGCTAAAAAACAATTAATAACCATAAAAAACAAGCTAACAATAAATAACTAGCAAAAAAATCAACAGTCCTGCTTAAACTAATATCTTACAACCTATAAGTTATTTGTCATTTAATCTGCAATAACAGAAGTTCCACTGATGCTATTTTAAGTTGAATTAAGCATATAACTAAGACATTGCAAAATGTATTTTCTTTTCAATGTAACTAAAGAGTTTTGAGTTGATAGTATTTTGTATTATTATTTTCCCAATAATAATGAAGTCAAAATTATTTGACGGCACGTTTGTGATTTCATTAAACAATTTTTTAGAAAAAATGGCACGTTGATGCATAAAGGTTCGCCACCCCCGCCCTAGATAATTAGAAAACGAAACTTTCATTCACGCATAAAGGGAGCATCATCCACATCCAATTTCTGCTCATGTTTTATTTTTATGATTTAGAAACTATTCCAGACGTAAATATTTACAAATCCGTATAGTTTTGTACTCACGGATTTTTAACTTTACTAGTTGTAAATGGTTTCAAAACCGTAAAGTTTAAGAAATGTTCTTAACCATGAAGTATATGGTAATGGACAGACAGCTTACCGTAATTTCAGAATGAAAATTTCAACAGTGTACATATGAGCACCTCCAATGTCTTTAAGAGTACATTTTATACATTCATAGCTTACTTCTAGCACACAGTTAAAGCTACCAGTTCTTTGCGAACAACCAATTTAAATTTTAAAATTATTAATCGATTATGAAATTAGTAGTTTATATAAAATTGTTGTTCAGAAATGCAGCCTATAGAGACAATATAATAAATCATTGTTCGGTTTTTATAGTATGATTGATTGTTCTGTTTCATATGCTTGACAGCACAATTTTATTGTTTTTTTATATATGCATTCCTAACCCTTAAACTTTTACAGCAAATGGTAACTCCAAGAGGCAAAGGATTAGGTGGGTCAACTTTGTTGAATTATATGCTGTATGTGAGAGGTAACCGCCGTGATTACGATGGTTGGGCAAAACAGGGTGCGACTGGATGGTCCTGGAAAGATGTCTATCCATACTTTCTTAAATCTGAAGGCAACACAGATCCAAAAATCGTTGCAGAAGGTACGAATATGATTTGTAGAAAAAGGGAAATATAATTTGTTCTCTCAGTTAGAAAAAAAAAGAAAAAAAGAAGAAAAGTTAGTAAATATAGACATCTAGTATAGTGCAAATTAGCTGGATTCTCAATACAATGTTGAATCATGTTTCCGTTAAAGTTGTGCGATATAATTCCTTTATTTACTATTATCAACAAAAGGAATTAATTATTCAAGTGATTGACGATGTGGTTCAATCTTATAGTCCATTCATTCATAGATAAAAAAGGAAAAAAATAATGAAAATGCATAGTTTTAAAATTTGACTGAACAGTAAGGAAAAAAAGCCTCTTTGAATAATTAACTAAAAGTCCCATGTAAAAAGAAGGGGTGAAAATTTAGTGCAGTGCTTGTATTAATATCACAATTTTCTGTTTATACACAATATTATAGGTTCAAGCCTAAAAAAAAAAGGAAATGTGTATAATCTAATATATATAATTCTCTTACGTGACTCCCAAATTTTGGCTGTATTTCTTTTCCGCCGGTGGCAACGTTTGCTTTGTTTACGTTACTATTTCTCTTAAACGGCGAATCGACCAATGATTGCCACTAAAAATTTCACATACCAAATCTAGCTGAGATGGCTCAACATACAGCGCTTTTAAAAACGGAAACTGAAATAACCAGAGAGCATCTCATACTATTAAGCTAGGAAGAAGTGAGTAGTCTTTGTCGATAGATCTCTATTTTAGTATTCTGTCGAAAGTGCTTTTTTTCACGAATTTATATACGAATTTATTTGACGATTTTTGATTTATATTACGAATTATACTATAGCACATTTCTAATAGGTTTAACGAATTACATGTCATTTATTTGAATTCAAATTTATTTTAATGACTTAGTATTTACTAAAAAGATGTAATAAGAAAGATGTAAAAGATGTAAATGAAAAAAAGTTTTTATATGGATTTGAATGATTGTTTTGAATTCTTAGAATTTTGTGCATTTGCAATGTACCTAAGTTAGTAGCGAGCGAAGCGAGCTTCGCTTGCGAAGCAAACCATATAAAATTGCGTAGCAATTTTCGGGAGTTGGCGAGCGTTAGCGAGCAGGGGGCGCAACCCACTAGTACAATATAAAGTACATTCCTATAAACAATACTGAGCCAGTCCAATTTGTCCTTATAACTTATTTAGCAACGTTTGTTCATTGAGAAAACAATTTAGTTAAAAGGTACGTAGTGAGAAAGATGACGACAAAAAAAGTACCTGATCTAATTTCTAAAATTAAAAACATTTGTAAGTAGATTTATTTTCTTTCGAACCAGTATTTTTCTTATATTTGTTGCCAAGTTTATTATATCTTATAAAAAATGCAACAACTTTGAACGATATTTCCATATTTTACACACCAATTTTTTTGAACCATTGTAGTTTAAATTGTTAATAACTTATTTTAGTTAGTTGGAAAATGTTAGTTTAAAAAAAAAACTTCTGAAAAATTTATTGATAGTTAACTATTATAATGCTACACAAGTTATTGGAAGAAATTAATGTAACGAGTACCAAAACACGAAGGTCACCGTCTCTCTACTTTCCAAGCATATTTATTTAAGAAATATCAATCCGTTAGGCATCAATTCTCCAGTATTGTGAACATGGCCTTTTTTAAAAAGTAGAATTGATGTATCATTGCGGTGCCAACTACATCATGCTTCCTGACTCTCCCTGGAGTGGAGTGTACAATAATGTGCTTACATAATACTCCAATGAACCTAGAAGTTTTTTGTTCCAATTCTGCAGACAGCCAACGAACACACTCACACATTCCTCCCTCCACATCTCTTTTGAGGCCATGCAATATGCTCAAAATTCAGCATACACCATTTCAATTTTTAACACAAGGGATTTTCAAATTCGATTATTTTACGTTTCGGAGCTATTATGACAGAATTTTGTTCATTTTCGGAAAACCCTTTTAGATATTTAAGAAATCATGCTTCTATCGTAATGATCGTCTGATTTTGGATGAAATTTATGATATATAGAATACAGAAGATACAAATTTATGATTCCTCCGAAATCAAAAATTTGTATCTATTACAATGTAATAAAAAACTTAAAACTGCTAACTCATTTATTTCATTCTAAGAATGAAATATCCACCAACTTTTTTTTCTTGAAAAAGGCTATGTTTCTAAAACGAGAGAATCGGTGCTGAATGGATTTATATTTCATAAATTCGGTTGTAAGAAAAGAAACGGTGACATTCAAGTCTGGCAATAGTTAAATTCATTTCTTTTAGTAAGTTGTGTAGCATTATTGTTTGTTTTAATAGTAACTATCAGTGGATTTTTCGAATTTTTCCAGCTATAATCTTATATTTATTTTACAGAGAAAAGTAGTAGCTACCATACAGTACCAGAAAATATATTCCAATTTTAAACAAAAATATACTGTAATTAAAAAAGGCATTTTTCACATCTTTACAAACTAGTAAATTTCCACTTTCTCAACAGGGAATGAGTAAAAAAATTAAATTCTAAAGTGTAACAAAAGTAGTGGTAAATCATTATTCTAAAAGTAATTAGTAATATCTGTCGTTTATTTTTTTTTTTGTTAGATCGAAAATTCATACTATACTTTCATTTAAAACCTCTCTTGTACGTTCATGTTGTAAGCTGTTGTTTTATTCTATGGTTTTCTTAATGTCCAATGAAAACTTTATCATTTAAGGTTACCACAACACAAGTGGACCCTTGACTATTCAAAGTGCCCAGTGGAGCACTCCATTGATGGAAGCATGGAAAAAGGCAGCTGCTGAACGTGGATATGAGTATAGAGACATTAATGGAGAAAAGCAAACCGGTGATTAACAAAATTATTTTATCTGTCTTTCTTAATGAAGTATCAAATTGAATTCATTATGATTTCTTTTCAATGAAGGATTTCATAAACTACAAGGATTTACGAGAAATGGTCGAAGATGCAGCGCATCCAAAGCGTTTCTAGTACCTGCGCAAGATCGTCCAAATTTAGACATTGTTACTGATGCTTTAGTCACAAAGGTACGAGATAAGAAATATTTATTTTATATCGACCCTCCCCACACCCCCCGAAAAATGAAAAAAACTTTCGTTTTATGTGGTAACAGTTCAGCTTAAAGGTAAGACAAATTTCTGCAGCATAAACTCGAATTGCAGCTAATTTAAGATTATAAATGCTACCATGAATGACCGAAATAAAGAGAATGTCGACTTTCATCGGTGAATGTCAACAATCTCATACGCCTTGGTGAATGTCCAAAATAATTGCAATATCCGATTTGATATCAATTTATTCGTTGATATTATTATATTTATTTGATATTTTAATATCGGCTGAGGATAGATTAGGAGAAAAATCAGTGGTCGAAGTACCAGTTAAATATTTATTGTGGAATGGCACTTGACCTTAAATAAACATTGACATGGGTCATGCAGCGCAAATGTGTACCCGGCAATGGCACTGAACCTAAACAAAAACATTGATGTAGGGCATATAGTGCGGCTTTGAGGAGAACTCCTCCAGACTGAAAGTCTGGGGCTGTCTGCTGCTATGGTAACAAGCGATAGCACATTTCTAATGGGGGTGAAAGAGAGGAAGGAAGGTGTCGATTGGTTTACTCACGACGACCAACGCTAAGAGTAAGACAAAACTATTCACCCACACCCCTATTTGAAGTGACCTTTCCTTGTAACCACAGTACCCGCCATGACGCGAGACGAATGTCTGGAGGAGTTCTCCTGAAAGCCGCACTATACCATGCAGTGGCTATGTGGGCATACCATGAAGTGACTATGTAATTGATTGATGACATTCACCTGCGAAAGTCGACATTCTCTTGATTTCGGTTATTCATTGTAACATATATAACATGTTGCAGTAAAGCAACATCTGGGCTTTAGAAAGGACAAAGAGCTTGAATACTTAAAAAATTATACATTTTTATTTAAAATTCACCAATTTAGCTCGATTTTTGCAGCTGAAAATGTTTTTGAAAAATGTTAAAATCAATGAATTATTTCCAATTTTCTTAAACTTTTATGAGCCCAGACATGAAGCGTTAGAATTTGGGTTAAAAATTTAACTCGAAAACGCTTTTCATTTTTAAAAAACTGCTGCTTTTCTTCGCATTTTTATTATTAGTAACTTGCACTTCGAGAAGAAGATCACGAATACGCATACATGTGACCTGTAACGTCAGCGGCAGCTGATTGTTTATAAACAAGATGGCGTGCAAAAGCTGAGCTAAGTTTCTCTACATAAGTTAAAATGTTAATTAACGTGCAGTTAATTTAATACAGCGCTGTATTGCAAATCGAATGCGTTGAAATTAATTTTTTCTTGTCTACGTCCTATACTTAACTTAGATTTATTATTATTTTTTGTTAATAGTGAGGTATTCTTGTTTTGCGTACCTGGCAACTTCTATTTATAATTAGTTTACTTATGTTCGACATAACTTCCTACCAGTCTTTGTGTTGAGAAATAAATGTATCGCGAAAGTATTGAAATCTTTGCAAAAGAATCTTTGTGTAAGAATATAGAATATGTCTCTTAAGAGAATTGTTGATTGACGGGCTTGACTTACTCGAAATAGAATGGAAATAACAGTTGTTAACATAAACAAATGCCACGTTTCAACAACCAATCAGGATCGAGATATCCACCCTACGTCACATGCAGGTATGTCATTATCATGAAGGAAGAGGACTAAACATGAGCAGAATTTTACTCAGTTTATTAAAATTATTTAAATAATATGCTCTCAGATACGTTATTTCATGCCTTTAAAAAACAGCTTTAGTGAATTTCATTAAAACCTTAGATTAATTACAAATACATTGTTTATAGATATTAATAGACAAAAATAAGAATGCATACGGAGTGAAATTTCAAAAAGATGGTAAAGATCATGAAGTTCATATTAACAAAGAAGTTATTGTGAGCGGAGGAAGCATTAATTCTCCTCAACTTTTGATGCTTTCAGGAATCGGTCCCAGGAAACACCTCGAAGCAAAAGGGGTGAGTCTGTTTCAACAATTTTATTTTTACTTCATTTGTCAGAAATAATATAAAAAGCATGGAAATAATATAAGAAATATCGAAATAATATCGGTAAAATACAATAATATGGAATCTAATAAGACGGGGGAACACGAAATTTATTTTCGACTCGTACAGAGTCCACTTGAAAGAAGACACAAGGGCTAGCGGTAAAAAGCACTTTATACAGATTTAAATACAGTATTTTTAAAGTACATGATTCGAATAATGACAATTAAATAGTTGGGCATTTTTATGGTAATAATCTGCGGCTACAAGATCCAAATATTAAAAAGAGCTTGATCATTAAAATTACAAAATTTTTTGTCTCTTATAAGGAGAATATGATACATAGATCGTGCGGATGATTATTTATAGACCACGTATTAGTTTACATAAAATAATTTCAGTGCCTGATTAATTGATTTATGCTTGGAGTTTTCTACTCACGGACATTTTTATTCTAGTTTTTACGTTTTCTTTGAATGAGTAATAAACATTTTCAGTGTTATGCTGTCCTAAATCAATGGTATACATCCAAAGTTAAGGACAAATTTGTTTCATCATTCAAAGGCAAAAAATTTCTGAAATTTTTTATCGCCTGTTAAGAGAATAAGCCTGTATTTTTGTTACCCAAATTGAGTTCGGGCAAATGCGCCAATTTTATAATGTCTAATCGAGTTCTGTCGAGACAAAAATCGGTGCTTCAATTCTGTATTTTTAAATATTTCGCAGTTTCGCACCAATTAACGGATTTTTGTAATTTTGCAGTTCAAAGAAATCTGAAGAGCATGGAGAATTCATAACAGTTGATATAAATAATAATACTATTGTAATAGTTTATTATATTTAAAATTATGTCACTTATTTTTGATTCATTATTTCATTATTTTTGAAAACTATATCATCTGATTTATTTTGGTATAATTTGAGCAAAAATGATTGTCATCCCTTAATAGCTATTTCGTTAAAGATATAGTTATTGTTTGTTCTTTTTTTCAAAAAATGATCTATTTTTAAAATTTTTATAAGAATAAATAAAATGAAAGAAATTTTTTTTTTCAAGTTTGGCACGTTTTTCTGAAATATAGTCCACAGGTAAGGGTTATCTTAGAGTTAAATTTCGTGACTGAAATTAAAAACTGACGTGTAGTTTGATTTTTCTTAGATACCAGTAATTGAAGATTTACCTGTAGGAGACAATTTACAAGATCATGTAGGTAGTATATTCTTACATTTTAAAGCAACAGGATCAAAAGATACAATTCAACAAATTCTTAGTAGACCACTTTGTAATCTGGTTGATTACAATTTAAGAGGAACAGGTGAGATAAAAGAGATTTATTATTTGTTTATGTATTTTATTGTAACCATGATATGTTTTTGTTTGCGTACCCGACAGCTTCGATGCGTAATTAGTTTGTTTATGTTCTGCATTGCCTCGTGCCTATATTTGTGTAAAATAAGACATATATAGTGAAAGTGTTTAAATCTTTGTGAAAGAATATAAAATGTGTCACCTAAGAGGAATTGATACTTGAAGGACTTGGCTTACTCGAAACTGAATTGAAACAACAGTTGCTAAGGTGAACAAAAGACACGTTTAAACAACCAAGGCGCATTCGAGATACCCACACTACGCCACTTGCAGGTATCCCATTAAAAAAAGGAGTTTAGTGCACGCTCTTTAATATTTAATAATTATTTTTATTTTTATGTCAGGTAAACTCAATGATCAATGTGATCGTGGTATCAATGTAGTGAACTATGTAACCAAATTATTTCTAACGTTATCTGAAACCACGGGTTTATTCTGTTTATAGTTATGCTTTTAAAACGTGTTATAATAAAACTAAACAATTTAAAATCAGTCGGAAATGAAATTTAAAAAAAAGTTTTAAACTGAAAAGCAAAATTAAGTTAGAAATTGTACGAATTTGTGGAGGAAAAGCTTTATAATACGCTATTATTATTATTGACGTCAATGATAATTAATTTTAGTAATAATTAATAATAAAAGTTAAAAATAAGCTATGTACTAGAAAAGCAGAATTAATAGAGCAATGATACAATTTTCTTGAAGCGTAAAAAGTCGTCTTACTATTATTATTGATACCAATGATGCTTAATTTTGATAATAGTCTGCCATCATTGTAATAGGTACAATTTTATTTGATTCTAAAAATACTCTTATATAGGTACAAAGTGTTTTATGAATAAATTTGGAGATTATAGCTGCAACAATACTGTAAATTTTTAAGCTAGATTTCTTACCGCCCCTCGAGGATAGAAGCATGATTGTGTTAAATTTTAAATATCAAGAATTGTCTCGAGCAACCGCATTATGCCAGAGGATACTGATTACAGTTAAACTTTATTTTGATGGTATGAACAACTAAATACGTGTTCTGCTTAATCCACTAACGTATAACCACTCAAAAAAGCAATAAATAATTTTAAAAAAAACTTGAAATTTTCTAGCTTTGCCCGTATTTGTCTTACCGTTTTTTGCACGATTTTATTGATTTGTTCAGTACGTAAAGTCATTAAAAAGGACAACAAATAATAAACAAAAAACATTGGAATTAGTTTAGGATTTATTGGAATTATTTATTATTTATTATTATTTGCTATTATAATTTCTTTATTATTGGAATTATTTATTATTTGTATCCATATTTGTCTCATCATTTCTTACATGATTTTATTGAGGTGTTCAGTTATGATTTATCGATGCTTATTTTTTTTACCCCTAACAAAGAACGGGTATTCAGCTAGTACTAAATATAAAAACAACTATGTTAAATATCAAATTGAGGAAGAACAATAGGAAGGGTCTCTATCTTTGTGAGAGTGTATTCTTAGAGTCAAAAATAAATAATGATAAAATTACTTTTGAAATTCTATTCTAATTACGGAAAACTTTCCATTCAAGAAAAGCTCTGGGTATGTTCTTAAAGAAAATTTATGTCAAATGCGTATTTCTTTCTTTTCATAATTACAGAATTTAACTACAATCTGATTATACAACTCACTTTCATTTAAATTACAGGGCCTTTTGCAAGCCTCAACGGTGTAGAAGGTCAAGCTTGGGTTAATTCTAAATTCAATGATCCTTCTCTTGATTGGCCTGATTTAGAGATTCAATTAGATGCTTTCTCACCCACGTCTGATGCAGGATTGCTATCCGGCCATTTGTTGGGTATTCCGCAAAAAGTACAATTATTATGATTATTTAAAATAACAATTATAATTACGTTTTAAAACATTATTAAATCTGGCGCAATTTTATTCAAACCAACTGCACTAATTAGAAATAATAATAATTATTTGTTTTGGTAATTTGCGAAGCAAAATTTTCAAATTATGAAGTGAGTCGGGCCCTGGCCACCACAGCTCTTTCATTACAATAAAAAAGAGATCTGATAAAGATGTTTATTTTTGCAAACTTTGTTTTACATTTTTAACCATACTTCTTTAATAAATAACGTGGATGGCAAATCGTATTTAAACCTTATGAAATTAAGGAAAACAATGGTGATGATAGTATTTATGGTGATGATGATATTTATGGTGTTGATGGTATTTTTAGCGATGATTAAAATATCTTGTTAATCACGTTAAATGACTGAATAGGATATTTTATTCTAATTTAAAAAAAAGTGGTTCTTACATTTCTAACCTTATCTGTATAATAAATAATGTCCATTATACATTGTATTTAAAATGATATAATAAAATAAAAGAAGATAATTAAACTTGTTAAAAACTGATAGAACTAACTCTCATGAATTTAAACTGATCAAATAGAATCAACACTATTATTAGAAGTGAAAAATAAGAGCTATATACTGTGATTGTATAGATGCTAGAAAGACTATATTTATTTATGACTACGATTTGGGTAGATACTTTGAAGTTGATACGTTAATGCTTTATGTAATTAATGTAATTACAGATAGATGTTAGAATTCTGTTATGCCATGTGATCATAATTTATACGTTAGAGAAGTTAAAAGTTATTTATTTGACTAGAATAGACATAAGTTATTTAAATAGTGCCAATATTTTTCGGATAAGTTGATGTTGCTGAAATATAATAGCTTTCTGAAATATATTCATGTCCTGTTGTATATATGTGAGTGTTTTACATGAGGATATTAAAGCAATAAAATATATTTGGTTCGCTTTTTTTTTCATGCATCATCTCAGGTGATCAATCAGGTCTACCTTCCATATCTGGGAAAGCATACTTTCACGATGTTCTCATGCTTCCTGAGACCTTTCAGCAGAGGAACTGTAAGGCTTGCTACAGCAAATCCTAATGATCATATTCTCATAGATCCTAACACTTTCGCAAACGCAAGTGACATTGACCGAGTACAGGCAGGTAAGCATAAAAATGAAGTCTTTATATTTTATCGACAATGCAAAGGAGGAAACGTCTTTGGTATGAAAACTAACCTTAACTTCCTACTTAATGAAAAAATTAAATTAATTATAAAAATATGTAATAACGTCACATTTATTATAATGTAGTAAATGTTGCTAATAGAGATACAGTGCACTTAAAGCAATTAAACTGTTACTTACAAAACCAACTTACTTAAAGATAATATACGAAATCAGTGGTTTCAAAAAGTACATTATATGTTACTGTAAAAGCCCGAAGTCTGGTAAATCCTAAATTTCTCGGTTAAGACCTAAGATTAGCCTAAGTGGGAGGGTAAAAGTCTGAAATATGCTTTAATATCTTAATTCTTACTCATTTTTAAGATATGTTGATTTCATAACATTTAATGGTAATATAAAAAAGCAATATCAGAAACTTTTATTTTGACAATAATGAATTAAGTAAGGTTTTTCTACAAATTTCCTAAATATATACACTACCTTACAATAATAGAAGATACTCTTTCAGTTTTTGAGATTTTTTTTTAAAAACAATTTCTCAAGAAATACGTCAAGAATGGTATACCTGTCAATTGACATGATGTGGGTAGCTCGATCCTGTTTGGTTGTTCAAACGTGGCATTTGTTTACTTTTGAAACTGTTCTTTCTATTCTATTTCGAATAAGCCAAGCCCTTCAAGTATCAATTCTTTTAAGCGACACATTCTAAAATCTTTCACAACTAACTTTCTCAAAGATTTCAATTCTTTCACTATATATTTCTTACTATATATATGAAACATGAAGTAAGGCACGATGTCATGTAGAAAATAAATAAACTAATTATAAATCGAAGTTGCCAGGTACACGAAACAAGAATACATCACGATTAACATAAAAAATACAAACAAATAATAAATCTAAGTTGAGTATAAGACGTAGACACAAAAAAATTATATTTCAACAAATTCGATTAACGATACGGTGATGTGTTTAATTAACTTCACGTTAATTAACATTTTAACTTACGTGGAGAAATTAAGCTCAGCTCTTACACGCCATCTTGTTCATAAGCAATCAGCTGACTCTGACGTCATAGGTTAAATGTGTGGGTATACGTGTTCTTCTTCTTCTCAAAGTGCAAATACCCAATTATAAAAATGGCAAAAAAAAAATTTGAAGAAAAGCCGTAGTTTTCTAAAAATGAAAAGTGCTTTAGAGTTAAATTTTTAACGCATATTCTAAAGCCGTATTAACTGGGCTCGTAAAAATTTAAGCAAATTGGAAATAATTAATTGGTTTTAAAAATTTTCATGTAGCTGCAAAAATTGAGCCAAATTGGTGAATTTTTAAAAGAAAGTTAAAGTAAAATAATTTTTGAAATATTCAAGCTGTTTGTCCTTTCTAAAGCTCAGATGTTGCGTTACGGCAACTTAACACACTTAGACTGAACACAAATGGACTTAACACAAAGACAGGCACGAGGCCATGTGGAACATAAACTAATTATGCATCAAGGTATTGCCCGGTATACAAAACAAAAATGTTTCACTGTTACAATAAAATACATAGACAAGTAACAAATCGAAGTTAAGTAAAAGAATTAGACGAAGAAGAATTATTTTCAACTAATTTGATATGTGATACTGATCTGTATATAATTAACTTACATTTAATTAACATTCTAACTTATGTAGAGAACCATAGCTAAAATTTTATATGCTATTTTGCTGATAATGTGGCTGGGTGGCGCAGTTGGTTTGTTATCGGCCTCCTGAGCCCCAGTCTGCTGGTTCGATCCCCGGCCCAGACACCGGATTTTCGGGATGCAGAAAATACTCAACGGGTCCTCTCGGGAAACAAAAATCCTCCAAATAGAGTCTCGGTGCAGCCATCTAGTGTGGCAGAAACTAGACGTCCAAATTAACATGGCCAACGGTATATCACCCATTGTGGTGGTCCTGAAAGAGTGGATACCACCTCTGGAGAACGCACTAGATCTGCTCATCGGCAAGACCGATTGTGCAGCTCATTGGAAATAAAAATTTTGCTGATAAAGATCAGCTGGTGTCGTAGGCGACATGTGCAGGTATTGGAGGTCTTCTTCCTCTTCTTAAAGTGCAAGTAACTAATTGTTTTATAAATTAAGAGGTTTCATGCATATCAATTAGGTTTAAAGCTTTCAGCTGCTCGTTGGACCGGAAATAAATTGCGAATGAAAAATTGTGTTTTCGAACCCCTTATGCTTAAAAGTACAGCAATAAGCTTGTTTAAACTTCTTTGGTTATCATATGCATTAACTGTCTAATTATATTCATGGCGGCATGAACTATTTTCATACTATAACAGTTTGCTTCATACTATAATAATTTCATACTATAACAGTCATACCCTATGTTTTAATAGTAGAAATAGCAAAAATAGTCAATAAATATTTTTTCGTATTTTTTTATTAATAACAAAATTGTCATTTTAAATTTTTAAAAAAATCGTTTAAAATTACCTAAGATTTTATAATATTTTCATACTGCACATGCGTGGAAAACATTTATGTAATTTTCCTAGAAGGTTTTGGATTTTTTTAAAAAAAGTTTTGAATGATATATTGTTAAAACTGACAATGCCAATATGGGGAATCATCCTCCATAAAATTACGTTTTATTTAATACGTTTTCTTTCCTAATACTTTGCTGTTCAATCAATTATTATAGGGTAGTATCATTTGTAATTGAATTTGCATATCACCTTTAATATTTAAGCTGGGCTTATGAAAGTTAATGCATTTATTGAATTTAATAACCAGTAATCGATACGAATTGTAAGTTTATCGCTATATTTCCTGATATAGGGTGTTCAAAAACACACTTTCCCGTTCGTAATTTATTGCTTGCTCTTTTAAAATTCTGAAAGCTTTAAACTTTTTTGATAAATTTGAGAAATCGTACGACTTAAACTCCTCCAAAGTTATAAAATATTTATATTAGTATTTTTTGAGAAATTTGAAAAGAAAAAAGTCAAAAACTAAAAGTGTTTCCTTTTTGTAGAGTAGCGTGAATATCCTCGAATAGCGTGAATATAGGTAGCCTCATTAATTGTTTATTGTAGTTATTGTAGAGACTGAGCTAGACAATTAGATTTTTTAATGTATTTGTAACAATTAATTTCAATTGAAATAAATTTAAATAATAGAACAATTATTAATGCTTACGATCTGCATTTAAAAAATTTTCTAGTGATCTTGACAAGGAAAAAATAATAATTTACATAAAATTTTCTTCAATGGCATTCAAAATCTATAGCATTGTTGTAATTCCGATGCTGATTACAATATCTTAGAACTTTAACAATTCTTAGATATAAAATCGGATAATTTTAGACAATTTAATAATTTCGCAATGGAATTTCTGAAAGAATTAATTTTAGACATTTTATATATAATATAATTCAGTTGAATGAACCGCTTACAAGCAAAGTTTTAAATCTATATTTCATTTATCCCTTCAAAATGTAATTTGAATTAAAATACATAATTCTACCACGTAAGTTCTATTTTTTTTATTACAGTACTGCAAGAAAATGTGGATATTGTAACCAAAACAAAGGCTTTCAAAGAAATTGGTGCAAAATTATTTGAAACGAAATTTCCTGGATGCGAACAATTTGTAGCAAACAGTACGTATTATTCTCCGGAGTACTTAAGATGCATTGCTGTGGGTTACACATTCAATTTTTACCATCCAGTTGGTACATGCAAAATGGGAAGTGCCGATGACAAAACTACAGTTGTCGATCCAAAGTTAAAGTAAGATTTTAAAATAATTTTTTAACTCTCGCATTATTTATCTTATTTAATACATCTTAATTTTATGGAAAGAAATTCCAAAAAGATAAATTTTTTAATTTCATTTTCGGTTGTTAAAGTTAAAGGAAGTTAACGAATTTTAATTACCATAGTTTCATGCCCTCCAACTAATTTTTTTCATATTCTTAAAGATTTTAATTCATCCAATCATTTGAACTTGAAAAATCAATTTATAAAATTTTCCATATCATAGAAATGTTGTAGAGTCCGTACTCAATGGAATTGAGACAGTAAAATTTTGAGATTCATTTTCCAGAAAAAATATGGAAACATGCACTGCTTGACAAACTAAGCAATAAAAACAATATTGAAACATGAAGGAGCTTTATGCAACTTTAATTTTAATTTATTTAGATAACCTTAAAAAAAAACAAGCTCTATTAAAAAATCGTACTTTCTACCTTGCCGAAATAGGAAGAACATACGATATCCGAACATTTGATGTCTAACTAAGAAAGATTTAAAGAACTGCTTTACATTTTTAAAAATAACATTTAATTGACTATATAGGCATTTAACATTCTTTAAAGGTAAGGGTTCCTTTAAGGTAAAATTCCTTTAAGGTATAAACAAATATTTTTTTAATAGTTAAAACTTTAAAGTATTGCGTTTTTCCATTCGCAAAACTGTAACTTCTGTGGTCTATTCTCTTCTGAAAAAAAATCTAAATATCTAAAATCTTTTGCTTCATTCATCTTAATTAAAGTGGTGATCTTTTCTTTTATATGCTTAAAACCGTAAACTGTAAATAAAATTTCAGATCTCATTACAGTAAAAAGCATTGGCACACTTGGAGCAGCATCTGTAAAATCTATTTTTTACCGAAAGGTTTTATACCGTAATTTTTACAATTATATTTATCTAATTACATTGATTCGGTGTTTTAAGTACAGTGAAAAACACGGAATATCAGATTTATATCAGCTGCGACTTTTAAACCTTAATTTGATCATAAATTTTTCATAGTGCATTGAAAAATTATATCTTGGACATTCTTATTCCTCATATTTAATATTTTATGTAGCACAAATCTGAATTTTATTATTTATGAATATAGGGTAAAAGGAATAAGGAATTTACGAGTGGCAGACGGATCCATCATTCCGAATCAGGTATCTGGAAATACTGAAGCACCGATCATCATGATTGGAGAAAAATGCTCTGATATGATCAAAGCTGACAATCCTGATCGGAATAATTGCTAACTAAGTGGCAGAGAATGCTATAAAATTAAGTTTAAGCTTTTTGAATGTAATATTTTACCTCTCTATCAAAAATTGTTTCTTTTTCCTATAAAAAATATATCAACTACTATTTTCTGCAGCAAAAAAAAAAGAAAAATGCATTCGTTTTTACAGTTTAATTCATAAATCTTCTTAGTTTTTGTATATGCTTGAATAAATTTTATTTCTGATTTTTCAGTTCTGTTTTGTTCATTGTATATAAAATCTGCAACGAAACATTTCACGTGTTATGAAAGTTGAACGTGAACAATTTTTTGTTTAAAAAATACTGCAAGTGATCTAACGTATAATGTAAGACGTAAAATGAATCAGGTTGATACACTGCAAAAAAGTCGGGATTAAATTACGTTATAAACTATCGGCACTGTGAGTGCAAGGTCTGTAAAATCAATTTTATCAGCAAAAAATCAAATTTACTGTTACAGTAAAAATTACAGTACATTAGTTTTTTCCCGAAACATATTCCAGTGAAAATGAATTTTAGAGTAAAAAGTAACGGCGTCGAGTGTCCACATACTTTTAACCGTAATCTGATCCGGAATTTTTTGCTGTGCAGCCTAAAGTGGTATAGTGAAAGACCACACTTGTACAAATTTTCTTTTGTTTTTTACCGCTACTATTTATGTCATATAAAAAGTAAAAGTAATTGGTAGTTCAATGTTGGAAATATTAGTTGTCAATTAGCATAAATCTGAAAAATAAAAATTTTCTTATTATTGAAGAAAATTATTTTTATTGTCGCAACATTTTTCAATAAATATTAATGATTTTTTTTCCTTTTTAAATTGGTAATTTGGAAAAATTTCTGAATATTTTTACTCAGTTTTACTGAGACAATAAAAATAAATGCAAAAATGAGGCTAAATAAGTGTAAGAATGAGGCTAAATAAATTTTTTATCAGATATATATTTATTTATATAAATTTATATAAATTATGTGAAATTATCAGAAAATTTATTTAACTATAGTATTANTCATATATATATATATATATATATATACACTTCTTAGCAGATAATTCAATGATATTAATGACACTTTTTTAAAAAAAATATTGTGATTGAAAAATCGACAAGAGTTATATTACCGGAAAAAATAAAAAAAAAATATTTGACAATTTGCTCATAAATTAACAGTTGACTGAAATGTGCTGTTAGTACTACGAAGAACGGCTTGTACTATTGCGAAATGCAGAAATTATATAGATAAAAAAAGTAACAGGTATCGAGTAACAGGTAAACAAGTATCAGAATCTTTCAGAAATATGGAGCGCTATTTCTATGTACTATTTCTAACTATGTATTTCTAACAGTGCAGTACACAATAACATAGGCTTTAAAAACTAGATAATTCAATGAACTCTCTAGAGACTTGCAAAACAGGACACTATTGCAATCAAAAACAGCCTAATAATCTCTACTCTACTCTCTGCGAAGTACATTATTTATATTAGCTTGGCGACCCCGGAACTTAACATACCGTTCTAAACGATTCTCGCCTAACTCCATGAATGTCGGTCCTGTCGGCTATCTGTTTGAAACTCGAAATTTCCAGAACAGTCATTTAGTCACCAAAATTATCGCCAAGTCGGCAAAAATGTCGAAAAACTGAGACTTTAATCAGAAAGATATCGGCGTTATTTTCTTTCTAAATTATGCTAGAATAACGCGACTTTCTAACGAAATCTCTAATTCAACTGTTTATTCTAAGTCCGTCTGAGATATTTAGCCTCATAACAAAAGAATATGTACAAAATTGCACACATCTTTGCAAATTCGTAACAATATAGAGGAAGTAGAACATTTTTCTGAGTAAAAAAGATTCTTATTTTAATGAATTTCAATGATAGATCCGATACTATTAGTACTGTACATGAATCAATTTTTCACTAATTTTTTATCATTGAAAATGTAATAGCTTACCCATTGGCATGATATGTTTATAAACTGTTGAAAAAAAATAGATTTATTAAATGGTGTTTAACCTTTCTGAAAAAATATTAGTAAGTTAATGGACTAAAGCAATTCTCCTCAACCTTTTAATTGCCGTGAACCGTTCAATGTTTGACAGTTTTATCACAACCGGCCGAGAGGGGCGGACGTTGATTGCTTATATTTTAGATGGTTTTGATTTAGGAGTTTTTTTTAAATTGTATTTAAACAAGCCTACAAAACAAAATATAATTATACGCGGTGGTGTTGGTGCAGCTTTAGGTGACGTCTTTAGCTCCCAGTTAACTTCTCGTCCTTAAAAAGTCGTACAAAATCGTAAAAAATAAAAAAATACGATACATTAAATAAAAAGGAAAAATGTAAATGTAGAAATGTAAATGTAAAAATTTAAACGTAAAAATGTAAATGCAAAAATGGAAATTCAAAAATGGAAATGGTTAAATGGAAATGGAAAAATGGATTAGTGTTTCTTGGGTGTCCCGGCACCATTTGATCCACAGACCAATACAGGTCTGCAGACCAACGGTTAAGGACCACTAGGTTAAAGGACTTTATACAGAATGTTTTCTATTAAATGATTATAAAGTATGAGCAGTGACTTTTTTACGGAATTGTTTAAACGGCATTCGATAATGGAAAATCAACAATTGGTAGTTGTTTCAGCTGCCTTTTCCTTAATCTTTGTCAAATAATTTACTTGATTTTGTCATAATTTGTAATTCGTTTTGTTTAACAGGAAAAAGACTTCAAAAATATACACCACAGATTTCAACACCGTTAAAGTAATTCTACTGAGAATTTAAAAATATTTTATCATCGCAAATTAAATTTTACAGCTGAACAAATTTTGTACTCAAACAGCAACTAAATGCAAATAATTTTCAACCCATGAAGAAAACGATGTTTAACTTCAATCTATGATGTTAAGACATAAACTGCTAACTAAAATATGGAGAATTTCGAATTTACTTTCGAAATCAACATTTTAATTCAAAAGACACATTTGCTCAACACTTGGTGTATTGGTCAATGCCCTCTTTAATAGTTCTCTCGAATTTCTACATAATTAGCTGTTAAAATATTTCACTTTAAGTATTGTGGAGGACATGAAATAAGAGAATGTTAATGAATTATACTTCAGTATCATATTTTATACGTTATTTCATATATTTAGAGCTTTCAAAGGAAAGGAACAAATTCATATTATCAGATGCTACTCATGAGAATCGAAAATGGGCAATCTAATTGGAAATGCTGTATCATCAGTCACATCTGTGACTGTACCTCCATTGATTAGGATTATTATCGCCCTCTTAATCACGTTAGCTATTTATAATCCAAAAACAACAAATAATTTTAAATCGAAGTATGATTACATAGTAGGTAAGTAATATTTCTATTTGCAGTTTTTTTTCCTTTACGTATGAAATTATGAAATAATAAGAGAAAAGATGTAATAATTAGAGTATTCTTTTTTATTTGAAATTTTAATACTCAATCAATTGCTTAAAAACTGCCGTGTTAAAAAATGTTTACTTTTGTACCATAAGCTTTTAGATAATTTTTAAAATTTTTTAAATTAATTAGTTTAATTTTTTTTTCAGTTGAATTCTATTCTATTCATGAAAAGAATTTTTTCTTGCAATTGAAGGAGTTAGATGTTATTTAGGCGATTCTTTTGATAAATAAACAAATATATAAAAGTCAAACTGCATTCAAAATTAATAAAGTGACATATACACCCTCTGCTTTTTTTAAATTCATTAATCTCGCTGAGGAATTTCCGTGAATAGTTAAAGAAAGAGATATTAGTGACTGCTGTCTTTTAGTTCACTTCCAAAGAGTTTATATATTTTTAGAAAGAGATATTTAGATAGTCTTGAGTAAAATTCAGTCTAAAAAGTGTGTTGTTTAACAACAGTATTAAATGTAAAAGGGTAAAAAAAAGACGGTGAATGATATTTTAATAGATAATTTCTTTCTTTAGTTGGAGCAGGAGCAGCAGGTTCTGTGATAGCAGCTCGGCTTTCTGAAGATCGTTGTGTATCAGTACTACTTCTTGAAGCCGGTCCAAAAGCCATTCCACTAACAGAAGTACCATCCTTTTCATTTTTTACTCAAAATAGCCCTAATGATTGGGGATACAAAACTGTACCACAAAAGAGGGGAGCTCTATTTCTACTTAATCGCGTAAGTGAATATGTTTCGAATAACTAAATTTAAGTTGTTTAACTAGCTATCGTACAGCAATATAATTTGATAAGGATACAAAACAATTTTTTTTCAACTGAGGCAAACTAGCGGCCAAATTAACATTATTATTTAACTTGGTGAATTAAAATGCTTATCTAACGTACGTGATACATTATTACACATAAAACTTTTAATTTGAATCTAAAATAACAGAATTAAATTTTTTTAAAAATTAAATAACGTAAGAAAAACACTTGGCTTAAAAACACATGCATTTTTAATTGTAAATAATGTGTAAAAGCACTTTACACATTATTTTAACATAGAAAGCTTAGCAGTTATGGTTTAAAACAAAAAAAGAAAAAACGTTCACAACCATAACATACTTGAACGTATAAGCATAAAAGTTTTTTAAAAACTTCGAGTAACTTTTTCTTTAAGTCTTTAAGTTTTAAGTTTAATTTACATGTTAATTTTAACTCCATTGATGGAGCTTCAAATGTTTATGCAACTCATCAATTGATACTCTCAATTGCCCGATACACAATAATACATGCGAGTACCTGAAGAGGCTTTAAGTGAACTCTTTATACATCCATAGCTTACTACCAGCACACAGTTTATGCCTAAAGGTTCTTAACAAACAACCATTTTAAACTTTCAAATTCTTATTTAAAAATGAAATTAGTAGTTTAGTATAAAATTGCTGTTTAGAAATACAATAAACAGAGACAGTATTAAATCATTGTATGGTCTCCATAGTGTGATTGTTTTGTTTCATAGATTTAACAACGCAATTGTATTGTTTTTTTAATATGCCTTCCTAACGCTTAAGCTTTTACAGCAAATGGTAACTCCAAGAGGCAAAGGATTAGGAGGGTCAACTTTGTTGAATTATTTTATGTACGTGAGAGGAAACCGCCGTGATTACGATGGTTGGGCAAAGCAAGGAGCTACCGGATGGTCCTGGAAAGATGTCTATCCATACTTTCTCAAATCTGAAGGCAACACAGATCCAAAGATCGTTGCAGATGGTATGAATAAGATTTGTAGAAATATAAAAAAAGAAGTTGTTCTCTGAGTAAAAAAAGGAGTAAATGTTGACTTCCAGTACTGTGCGAATTAGCTGGATTCGCGGTAAGAAGTTGAATCATGATTCCGTCTAAGTTGTGTGATATAATTACGTAACTAAATATTATCACAGGAGCGAGTGTAATATTAGTTATTCGATCACTTGAATAATTAATATCGTAGTTGCTCAATTAACAACTTGCTTCTTTCTTCGACAATATGGTTCAATCTGATTGTCCATTCATACATAAGAAAAAAATTTAAAAAAATGCAAAGTCTTAAAATTTGACTGAGTTGTAGGAAAAAAGCCCTGAATAACTAACTAAAAATCCGAGATAAAAACAAGAGAAGAAAATTTAGTATTGTCCTTCTATATATATATAACGTCATTCAGTTTTTACAAACAGCAATGGGTTCAAGCAAAACAAAAACGTAATATGCAATATGAAGTACATTCCAACAAAATACTGCTGCTAAGACCACTGCTCACAACATTTGTCCTAGCAATTCAGCTTGAAACTTTTGTCCAATAAGAAAACAATATAGTTAAAATAGACACGTGGTGAGAAAGATGACCACAGTGGAAAGTACTCCATCTAACTTCCAAGAGTAAAAATTTTGTATGCATATTTCGTTTTCTAATAAACTTTTTTCTTATATTTGTTGCTTGGGCAATGATATCTTGTAACAAATTCGGACGATATTTTCATATTTCATGCCCAAATCTTTTTAACAGCGTAGTTTAAATTGATAATAGTATTTTTTTTTTACGTGTGGCATGTTGATTTCGAAAATGTTAGTTGAATAATTTATTTACAGTAACTATAAGAATCAACAATAGTACTATACAACTTACTAATAAGCGAAATGAAGGTAACGAATTCCAAATCCGCATTTCACTGCTTCTTTTCTCTGTAAGCAATTTTATGAAATATTAACTTTGTTCCAAAAAGAAAAAAACTTTTGTTTTTAGCTTTTTTAATTTTGTTGCAGCAGAAACAAATTTCTAATTTCGGGGGGATCATAAATTTGTATCTACTATAATATCTATATTTTTAGTTTCATCCGAAATCATAAGATCAGTACGAATCCGATACAATTTTATTTCTTACTCAACTTGGTGAAAAAGGGTTTCTCAAAATCGAGCGAAATTGAGTCAAAATAGTCGAATTCGAAATTCCTATGTGTTCACAAATGAACTTCATTTTAGAGAAAATTGCAGTTTCAGAAGTGATGTGGATGGAAAAATGCGAGAGAGATTTGTTTGTTGAATGTAGAGAGGATTCGAACAAAGGACCTCCGGATTTTCGGTAGGACGCTCTAGGTACCATAGCTGTGCGCCTTAGCCCAGTAGGAGTTAGGAAGCTTTATAGTGTTGCCACAGTAATGACACATCATGCCATGCGGCGACTATTATTTGACAATTATTTGATTCGGAGCTATATTGATACATTTTTACTCATTTTACAGTGAAAAGTAGTAGTTATGTACCAGAATTTCTAAGTTTAAAGACATAGATACTACGATTCAAAAAGATACTTTTCACATATATACAAAAGAGTAAATTTCTACTCTCTCAACAAGGAATGAGTAAAAAAGAATGAAATTTTAAAGTATAACAAGAGAAGTGGTAAATCGTGATTCTTAAGTATTTACTATTAATCTGATTGTTTATGGCTAGATCGAAAATTTAAGTAATAATTTTATACTTTTATTTAGTAGCTCTTTTATGCGTATACTTGCTGTTGTATGCTGTTGCTTCATTGAATATTTTTAAATACAAAAGGACTACTTTTATCATTTAAGGTTACCATAACACAAGTGGTCCCCTGACAATTCAAAGTGCCCAGTGGAGCACTCCACTGATGGAAGCATGGAGAAAAGCAGCTGCCGAACGTGGATATGAATATAGAGACATTAATGGAGAAAAGCAAACCGGTAATTCACATAATTATTTTTCTTTGTATATTTTTAATAAAGCTATAACGAATCGAATTAATTATTATTTCTTTTTCTGTAAAGGATTTTATAAAATACAAGGATTTTTGAGAAATGGTCGAAGATGCACCACATCCAAAGCCTTTCTAATACCTGCACAAGATCGTCCGAATTTAGACATTGTTACTGATGCTTTAGTCACAAAGGTACGAAATAAGCAAAATCAGTTTAATGTTGGTGTAAAAATGTTTTTTTAGTTTTTGGTGGTAACAGGCCTACTTAATGGTGTTTTTCGAAACTCTTTCATGAAGAAGGGAATGCTTAAGTTTAGTTACTTAAACTGAAATAAAAGTTATAACTTAAAATTATACATACATTGCAGTTACCGCAAGTCATCTTTAGAAAAGACAACTCTAATATTTCGAAAATTATTCAACTTTACTAAAATTTAAGAATTTGGCTGGATGAAAATTCATAAAATCAATGAACAATTCCCATATTTTTTAACATTTCATGGGTTCAAACAATGTAGCGTTTCGGTAACTTTTTAATAAGCTTCAAAAAAGTTCATAGATAGTTCATAAACGCTTTTAATTTTTAGAAAATGTTAGAAAATGAAATGACTTTGCTAAAATTTAAGAATTTGGCTGGATGAAAATTCATAAAATCAATGAAAAATTCCCATATTTTTTAACATTTCATGGGTTCAAACAATGTAGCGTTTCGGTAACTTTTTAATAAGCTTCAAAAAAGTTCATAGATAGTTCATAAACGCTTTTAATTTTTAGAAAATGTTAGAAAATGAAATGACTTTGCTAAAATTTAAGAATTTGGCTGGATGAAAATTCATAAAATCAATGAAAAATTCCCATATTTTTTAACATTTCATGGGTTNGAAATATTAGTTATTGCTAAAAAAGTTCATAGATAGTTCATAAACGCTTTTAATTTTTAGAAAATGTTAGAAAATGAAATGACTTTGCTAAAATTTAAGAATTTGGCTGGATGAAAATTCATAAAATCAATGAAAAATTCCCATATTTTTTAACATTTCATGGGTTCAAACAATGTAGCGTTTCGGTAACTTTTTAATAAGCTTCAAAAAAGTTCATAGATAGTTCATAAACGCTTTTAAGTTTTAGAAAATGTTGTCTTTTATTCACATCAACATTTTCAGTAATTTTTGTAACTATCCTTAAGAACATTGTTCGGGCATGGACATGATTTAATTTAGTAGTCAATAACAATCATTCAATAAGAGTTTTATAATATACGTTATTTCGTGTAAAAATTGAGACTTCTAAAAACAGTCTTAATGAAATTGATAAAAAATGCATACTTAAATTGATTGCTAATTAACATATACATATGATTATTGTTTATAGGTATTAATAGACAGAAATAAGAATGCATACGGAGTGAAATTCCAAAAAGATGGAAAAGATCATGAAGTTCATATTAACAAAGAAGTTATTGTGAGCGGAGGAACCATAAATTCTCTTCAACTTCTGATGCTTTCAGGAATCGGTCCCAGGAAACACCTCGAGGCAAAAGGGGTGAGCCTGTTTTAACTATTTTATATTTATTTTACTTTTCCGAAAGACTACGGGGCCAGCGGTTGTGGGTTCGAATCCCACCGTAGTCATGTATGTAACTTTCTTTTTCTCTTTGTGTTCTATGTCCTTTCTTTTGTGTGGTTGTGTGACCCGCTCTATAAGCGATTTGTGCTTGTATGACGTGGGCGATGGTACTCCAGCTTCGTGGCTTAGCCACAGTGCCCTCTGGGTAATGATTAGAGAGTAGCAATTTTGACATTTGTGAGGCCAATGGGAAATAGATCCGAGTGAAAGAATTTTTGAAAGCCATTTGAAAGATAACTAAAGGGCCAGCGAGAACAAGCGCTTTGTACAGATTTAAATACAGTATTTTAAAAATACATAATTCATGTAATTGCAGTTAAATGATTGAGCAAATTGATGGTAAAAATCTGCTGCTATAAGTTCCGAATCGTAAATAAGTACATATTTATAAAAAATTACAAAAAAATTGTAGCTATTTATAATGAGGTATGCTTTTTACGTAAGAAAATATAAGTTTATGACTAATTGCTTTATGCCTGCAGTTTTTTTCTTTTTTTTTTTGCAGAAGTTTTTCTCTTAATAAATTATAAATATTTTCAGTGTTACGTTATGCTAAAGTGACGGTTCACATTCAAAGCTCCTAACAAATTTTATTTCTTCATGCTAAGGCAACTAATAGTTATAGAATTAAAGGAAATTTCATAAATTTCATATATTTCGTCCGAAGTAAATATTTACATTAATCAATAACTTAAAATTTTATATTTTTCTTTGCCTCAAATTTCGTGATTGCTGACGTTTAAAGCTGACGTCTAATTTGAACTTTTTCCTTTCAGATACCAGTAATTGAAGATTTACCTGTAGGAGACAATTATCAAGATCATGTAGGTACTTTTTTCTTGAATTTTGAAGCAACAGGATCAAAAGATACAATTCAACAAATTTTTAGCAGACCACTTGGTAGTCTGATTGATTACAATTCAAAGGGAACAGGTGAGATAAAAGAGCTAAATCTGTCAAATAATTCTTCAATATATGTTATTTATTTTATAACCGTTGTTGAACAGCCGAATCAATGTTTTTGGGTTTATGACAACTAATGTTCAACTCCGTAGCCTTGTAATTTTGAGCCCAATCCAAAAAACAAGGGATCTCCTGGATCAAGTATTGGGAGAAATTTTTCATGGAACTGACCAACAGTTGCTTTACATGGAGAGGAAAACCACGAAAACCTCTCACGGTTACTTCTCTAATTTTTAACTTTCCAAACGTTTAAGCAACAGAATTTGATTCTCAGTAATGATTTGAAGGGAGTTTTTGGAAGCGCAGCTTTTACAGCTAAAAATTTTTCTTCCTTTATTTAATATAATTTAATTTTACAGTCAATTGCTCAAAAACAAATATACTTTGAAAAAAAAATCTCTAATATTTATAAACTGTTTCATAAACAGAAGCTTTTTAACTTTTTACACCTTAACTTTGAACCTAGGCAATTTTTTTCTGCTCATTTGTTAAGTATTAAGGTAATAATAATATTATTATTATGAAAGACAATCACTGTAAAAAATTATCCATCTAAAGATTCGGGCGTGAAATGACTAAATAAAGTGTTACACGGTTAGAACTGTCGAAAAAACGGAAAACTAATTTTTTTAAACAATAGTCGAAATGTAAATATCTAAATCTTTTTTTATAGAATGGAAGTTGAAGTGAGATATAATAATAGATTAAACAAAAAAAAAAGGCTATATGGCAAATATAATTATTATGGACCATAATTATAGATCATATTATAGGCCATAATTATAGACTTTTAATGCAGTTTTACTGCAATCTGATTATACAACTTTCATCAGCACTAACTTTTATTTAAATTGCAGGGCCTTTTGCTAGCTTCAATGGTATAGAAGGTCAAGCTTGGGTCAATTCTAAATTCAATGATCCTTCTCTTGATTGGCCTGATTTAGAGATTCATTTAGAAGCTTTCTCACCTACGTCTGATGCAGGATTAGTATCCGGACATTTGTTGGGTATTCCGCAAAAAGTATACTTATTATGTCTAATTTAAAATTATAAAACATTATTAGCTCTGACGCAATTTTATTTGAATCCTTAATAGGAAATGATAACTATCTTTTTTTTTGTTGTAAACTCAGAATTATTAAATAAAATTTGTAAATTATCGAGACAGATTGCGAGCTGAGGGACTTGAGGTTAAAAAAGTGATAACCTTTATTTTTGAAGTTTAGAGATAAACAGATATAGGGAGATAATAATATAGAATATTATTGTTTGACAATAATATATTTTCATAGATTATTAAATTCCATCATTCAAAACTATTACATATATTAGAAATATTAGTTATTGCTAAAAAAATTACTTAAGTAGCAAGGAAACTCTTGTTGGATATTATTTACGGTATTAAAGTGAAAGTTTTTGTAAGAAGAGGATTATTACTTTTCCCTCCCGAAGTCTACACTATTGTAGACTTTGTTATAGTACATGACTTAAGCAACTTAATAAGAAAAAAAAAGAAATCGACTTTTTATTATAACAACAGCTAAGGATATGAAATTATCTTTAAACTCTGCAGCCTTCAAATGTCAAACAATACTATGGTTTTTTACTTCTACAAAGAAATTGTCATTAATTAAAGTAATGTATAAGAAATATCTTGAAAATTCATTGATTTTTCTGGCTTAAAATTTTAGCGTAATATTATAAAGTAATATTATAGCTTTCTGAAATATATTCATGTCATATTTTTCTTTGGATAGGTGATCAATCAGGTCTACCTTCCATATCTGGGAAAGCATACTTTCACGATGTTCTCATGCTTCCTGAGACCTTTCAGCAGAGGAACTGTAAGGCTTGCTACAGCAAATCCAAATGATTATCCTCTCATAGATCCTAACACTTTCGCAAACGCAAGCGACATTGACCGAGTACAGGCAGGTAAACATAAAAATAAAGTTTATCTACATTGCAAGGAGGAAAAAAGTAGCTTTGCTAGGAAAACTAACTTTAACTTTTTACTTAATGGAAAAATTTGAATTTATTATTAAAATATGCAATGACGTTACAATTATTATAATGTAGTAAATTTTGCCAATGGAAGCATCCTCTTCAATAGAGAGCATATAAAATAATTAAACTGCTACGTATGAAATCAACTTACGTCAAGATGAAATACGAAATCAGTCCTTTCAAAAAGTGAATTATGTGTCACTGTAAAAGCCCAAAGTCTGATAAAACCTAATTTCTCCAGGTAAAACCAAAGATTTACCAAAGTGGGTGTTTAAAAGTCTGAAATATGCTTTAATATCCTAAGTCTTACGCATTTTTAGATTTGTTGATTTCATGACATTTAATAATATTTTTATCAGAAACTTTCATTTTGTCAAAAAAGGGTTAAGTAAGGTTTTTCGAATTCTCAAAATGTATACATTACCCTACAATAATGGATACTTTAAGTTTTTAAACACTTTTGTTTTTAAAATTTTTTAAAATTTCTCAAGAAATACCTCGATAATTGTTTTATAAATTGAGAGGTGTTAAATGATGCAGTTTCTCATACGTATCAATTAGGTTTGAAGCTGTCAGCTAATCATGGGACCGGCAATGAATTAAGAATGAAAAATGGTGTTTTTGAACACCTTTTCTTAAAAGTATAGCAATAAGCTTTTACCTTGTATCAACTACTTTGGTTATCATATGCAATAAATGTTTGACTGAATTAATTCATAGAGATATGAACTATTTCATAAAAAAACAAAATTTTTTGCTCTATGCTTTTTTACTGTAATAGTAGAAATAGTCAACAAAATTTTCTTGGAATATTTTTTAATTACTTGAAATTTGAAAAAAATCGTTGGAAATTGCACACTATATAATAATTCTTTCATACTGTGCATGAGTGGAAAACATTACGTAATTCTGTTTTGAATCTTATTTGGTGCTTTATGAAAAAATACTAGAGCACTTTTCCAAACAGTTTTTATAATCTCTGAAAAGAAGTTTGGAATGATATGGTGTTTTTCACACTTTTCAATTTGTATCATGAAGTAAGATTCATTAAAAATGGCAATAGGAGGAATTATGCCTTATTAAATTACGTTTTATTTTGCGCTTTTTCTTCTCTTATACCTCTCTGTTCAATCAATTATTATAGGGTAGTATCTTTTGCTATTGAATATGCATATCACCATGAACATTTAAGCTGGGAATATGAAAGTTTAAACAGTTATTGCATTTGAAAACCAAAGTAATCGATACGAATTGCAAGTTTATAGGTGCATTTTCTGACATAGAGTGTTTCCCGAACGAAGTTTATTGCTTGTTCCTTTAAAATTTTGAAAGCTTTAAACTTTTTTGATAAATATGAGAAATCGCATTACTTGAACACCTCAAAAGTTATAAAATCTTAGTATTTTTAGTATATCTTAGTATAAAATAGTATAATCTTAGGTATTAATATTGGTATCGGTATTAATTCGGTATTAATATTGACCCATAGTAATCTTAGTATAAAATCTTAGTATTTTATCTTAGTATTTCATGAGAAATTTGAAAAGAAAAAAAAACGACAGAAACTAAACGTGTTTCTTTTTTGTAGGGTAGCGTGAATAGATACCTCATAAATTGTTTATATTATAGACTGAACTAGACAATGATTACATTTTTGAACTAAAGACGATTAATTTCAACTGAAAAAAATTTTATTCACAGAATAATTATTAATATTTATGATCTGTATTAAAAAAATTTTTCAAGTGATCTTGACGAGAAAAAAAAATTATGAAACATTTTCTTCGATGGCATTCAAATTTAAAAGCATTTTTTTAAAATTCAGATGCTGATTACTTTAAGAAATTTAGCAATTCTTGGATATAAAATCGGATTGTTTTAAACGATTTTATAACGGAATTTCTGAAAGAATTAATTTTGGTCATTTCATGTAATTTATTTATGTGTTATTTATTTATATATAGTACAATTCAGTTGAATGTACCGTTTCAAAACAAAGTTTTAAATCTATATTTCATTTAGTCCTTCAAAAGATAATTTACAAATCAAAACACTTAATTCTATCTTTTCCTTATTACAGTGCTGCAAGAAAATGTGGATATTGTCACTAAAACGAATGCTTTCAAGGAAATTGGTGCAAAATTATTTGAAACGAAATTTCCTGGATGCGAACAATTTGAAGCAAACAGTACGTATTATTCTCCGGAGTACTTAAGATGTATAGCTATTGGTTACACATTCAATCTGTACCATCCAGTTGGTACATGCAAAATGGGAAGTGCCGATGACAAAACTACAGTTGTCGATCCACAGTTAAAGTAAGATTATAAAATTATTATTTTTTTAATCTTTTGCATATTATTTACATTATCTATTTTATTTAAAAAATTCTAATTTCGAGGACAGAAATTCCAAAAAGATAAGTTTTTTAATTTCATTTTCGACCATTGAAGTTAAAGGAAGTTAACGAATTTTGAATACCATAGTTTCATGACCACCAACTAGATTTTCCTATAATTAGAGATACTTCATTTAAACTTGAAAAGTCAATTCATTGAAAATTCCAAATCATGGAATGAGTCCATGCTCAATGAAATTATGACAAAAAAATTTCTAGCATTATTTTTCCACAACCAAAAATTGAGACACGAACTTTTTTCTTTCACAAACATAGGTAATAAAAGCAATTTCAAAAATTTATTTTAATTGCTTTTTTTTTCAAATTTAATTTTAATTTATTTTAGCTTTAAAAAAGCCGAAGATATATTAGAAATTTGAGCTTTGTGTCTTACCGAACTATGAAGAACATTTCATATCTGAAAATATGATGTCTAACTAAAAAGATTTGAAGAATCCCATTACAGTTTTAAAAATAACATTTAAATGACTGAATAGGTGTTTAAAATTCTTTTAAGATAAGGGTTTATAAAAATTCTTTTAAGGAACGAGCAAATACTGTTTTTAAGTGTCTAAATCTTTAAAAATGTTAAAGTATTCATAATTTTTATTTGCAAAACTGTATCTAATTTGGTCTAGTCTCTTAAGAAAAAAATCTAAGCAATATCTAAAATCCTTTGCATCATTTAATTCATTTTTAAAACTGTAAACTGTAAAAAAAATTGAATCCAATTACAGTAAAAAGCACTGGCACTTTTGGAGCGAGCAACATCTGCTAAATCTATTTTTACCGAAAAGTTTGATACCGTAATTTTTACAATTATATTTATTTAAATACAGTGATTTGGTGATTTTACGGTAAATACAGTGAAAAACATGGAGTATCAGATTTATATCAGCTGGTACTTTTTACCGTTAATTTGATCAGAAATGTATCATATCGTACTGCCAAATTTTGCTTTGGACATTTCTATTCCTCACATTTAATATTTTATGTAGTGCAAATCTCAATGATTTTTTTACTTATGAATTTAGGGTTAAAGGAATAAGGAATTTGCGAGTGGCAGATGGATCCATCATTCCGAATCAGGTATCTGGAAATACTGAAGCACCAATCGTCATGATTGGAGAAAAATGTTCCGATATGATCAAAGCAGACAATCCTGATAGGAATAATTGTTAACTAATTGACAGAGAATGCTTTCAAGTTAAGTTTAAGCTTATTGAATCTGATGTTTTATCTGTGTAAAAGTGTTCTTTTTCTCCCTTTTTTTTTATAAAAATGTGACGAAAACTGTTTTCTGATGCAGAAAAAATTATTTGAAAGAAGAAAATAAAAACGCTTGTTTTATCACAATGACTATATAACTCAGTAAAAGAATATCGTGATAACCTGATATCTGATAAATTTGTTACATTTTCTTGATTTTTGTAATTGAATGCATAACTTTTATTTAAATTTTATTCACTTCCGCCTTTTTCATGTACCCTTGTTCCATAACGAAACACTTTATTTGTTATGAAAGTTGAAAATATTTCCTTCAAAATTATTAGAAGTTTACAAAGATATTAGATAAGACATCAAAGGAACCAGGTTGATAGCCTAAAGAGGTATAATGAAGTATACAACACTTATAATTTTTTCATTCTGTTTTCCGCTGCTATTTATGACATAAACTGTAAAGAATTCTGGAACAAATAACAGCTAACATCACTTTGGATGCATCATCTTTAAAATCCATTTTACCCTAAAATGTAATTACAACAGTAATTACAACAATAACATTTATTGAGTTCGAATAATTTAATGATTTTACGGTAATTATAACAGTAAAAAGTAGCCAGTTACAGTCTGTTCCAGAGGAAGGCATTGGTCCACATTGGGCTGTCTGCCTAACTATGGTGATGATGATGAATATTCATTTTATTATCCATGAATATTTTGTACCTTTCTTTTTATTTCAAAATAAATGATATTTTACTATAAATTAGTTTAAATATTTTGCAACAAGCAAACTAATTTATATGGGGCATATGTTTTAAATGAGTTAATTAATTAGGTACATACCTTAATAAGTTTTTTCTTCTTTTTAGAACAAATTTTTAGTTTCAGCTTCCATGAAAATCCATNAAATTTTATTCACTTCCGCCTTTTTTATGTACACTTGTTCTATAAACGAAACACTTTATTTGTTATGAAAGTTGAAAATATTTACTTCCAAATTATTAGAAGTTTACGAAGATATTAGATAAGACATCAAAGGAACCAGGTTGATAGCATAAAGAGGTATAATGAAATACAACACTTATAATTTTTTCTTTTTTTTCCACTGCTATTTATGACATGAACTGTAAAGAATTTTGGAACAAATTACAGTATAAAGTAACATCACTTTGGATGCATAATCTTTAAAATCCATTTTACCTTAAAATGTTATACAGTAATTATAACAATAACATTTACTGAGTTCGAATAATTTAATGATTTTTCGGTAATTATAACAGTAAAAAGTATCCAGTTACAGTCTGTTTCAGAGGAAGGCATTGGTCCACATTGGGCTGTCTACCTAACTATGATGATGATGATGAATATTCATTTTATTATCCATGAATATTTTGCACCTTTCTTTTTATTTCAAAATAAATGATATTTTACTATAAATTTGTTTAAATATTTTGAAACAAGCAAACTAATTTATATGGCACATATGTTTTAAATGAGTTAATTAATTAGGTACATACCTTAATAAGTTTTTTCTTCTTTTTAGAACAAATTTTTAGTTTCAGCTTCCATGAAAATCCATTTTTAGCGGAAGAAAAAATTCATAACATGTATATCCATGTAATAGATGTTTTTTTAAGTTTCAGAAGCTATGAATCTGCAATAAAACATTTTCCATAAAAAAAAAATTTGAAAATAATTGAACAATCAAATGTCAAATGGCAAGGTATAACACTGAATAGACTAGTGATTTCAAGTCTTAAATTTATGTATCTCAAAATTTCTCAGATTTTTTCACATTTTACACCGCCTTAAACACGATATCTCAAGTTGTTTTTAAAATAATTCTCTACAATTTTTCATGAGTGTTTCTGGTTATAGCATACATGTTTTGATCTACAGACTAAGAAGAAAAAGTAGAATTTAAAATTTATGCAGGCTTTTTTTCTCAATGACAAGTGCAAAATTTTTTAAACATTTTCTTTTTTTATCTACATTGATCCGTAACTCAGTAATATATTGCTCTTGCTCTTAAGATAATAGTTCAAAACATAATTGATAACCTTCTAATTGAAATCCCCGAAGGATTTTTTGTTTTGGGGGAGAGAAAGTTCTTCTTAATTTTTTCCTAAAAATGGTCATTTAAAAAAACGAAAATAAAATAATATTAATTTTTATTGCCAGTTTAATAAGTTTTTACACATTATAAAACAAATAAACTAGTTTCCGAAATTTTATATTAATATTAAAAAAAAAGTAGTCTAAACTAATCGGATACCTAAACAAGAAATTAAAATGGAAATACGCTGTAATGGATTAAATTCATATAGAAAAATGCAACGGAATAAAATCTAATGTATTATTTAAGCATTCGTTAAGATTCATTTGCTTACTTTATAAAATATGTTGCGCAAACAAAAAATTTAATTTATCTGTTTAGATTTTTTTAAAGCTATCTCTACAAGAAGGGTTATGAACTGATGCTTTCTCGCAGTCACGAAAACATTTTCAGGAGTAACAGAAATGTTTTCTCTTGCAATATAAAAATGCGTAATATTACATTTGGATCATTTTCTACAAGTTAATATTTTTCCCTGATAAAAAAAAAATTCAATATCTTTAAAATATTAAAGTAAGAAAGAAAAATTTTTTAAAATTCACTTATTCAAGCTATTAAGTTTTTGAGCCTCGGTAACTCAGTGGTTAAAGACACTGAACTTTTATCGTGAAGTTCTGGGGTCCTCTGCGTACAATTTAAGAAACAACGCAAGTTCTTCAGTGGTGCAAGTGCTTCGAGAAGAGAAGTTTGATAATTAGCTTTTTTCTAATGCTATGAACTATAAATCGAGTTTCAAAAACTAATAAAACACATTTACTTTTATTTTATTTTTAAATAACTAGTTTATTAAACAAAAATATCAAATATATGAAAATCTCAGTTTTGAATGTATTGTTGCTTAGGTTTATTTTTGTATTACGCGGTTGGGCTTAAAACCCTCATTGTTGGTTTTAAGCCCATCATTTTCAGATCGATGCGCACAAACTTGTCTGAGATATTAAAAAGCCTCTACCCTCGAGATCTTAGATTTTAAGTTAAATTTTTAATTTACATTTTCTTGATATATATTTGTACTTAAAGAACTTTTGATGATGCAATTTTATTAGACAGCACAATAACTATTTAAAAAATGGAAAATAAAGAGGTCGCTTTCTTAAATTAGAACAAATAGTGCATTATGCTTTTTAAAACTTAAGAATTTTTAAGAGCAACTTTATAGCAACAAAATGATGCGATTTGTGATTTTAAGTACGCAATTTAAAAATTACACGTTTCTCAATTTTATACTTTTTTGAAATCTCAAATTTATTACAATTTAAACTGATGAAAACAGGTTTGGATGACGCTACAAAATTTTTCAACATTAATTGCATAAAAACAAAGATACTAATAAAAGCTCTCAAAGTTGGCAAGTGTACATTCTTTAATTATCTATCAAAAACTGTTGATTGCAAAACTGAATTGGCATTATTTTGTCAGAAAAAATGTATAGAGAAACTGAAGTACCTTTACTCTTTATATCTTAAATAGTGATTGTGCATGTCAATTATATAAATATGCATTTCGTTATGGATAAACGTGATAAGGAAGAAATAAATTGGTGAACAATAAATTAATATTTTAATGTAGATTAAATACTTTAATGTAAATAGAAAAATATTTAAAATAAATCACGATTTACTTTACAAAATGTACTTTTGTCTTCATTAACACACGACATCCAAAAAGTATTAACAAATAAATATTTCATAAAACTGAAATAAAAAGGATAATTACAAAGTACTTTATAAATACAATAGAAATCCGAAATGAAAACTATACAGTTTTCAAATTACAAATATATACATAGAAATGTGAATTATAGTTTTCTATATGTTTTTCAGTTTTAATCAATTTAACTAAACACGAAACATGATCCAATAGAACTTTTAGTTTAGAAGTAGCAAGGGTTTTAGTGAATAAAAGTTTTCAATTCAAAAATGTATTCAATTCAAAAATGTATTCATCAACACTTTTTTTCTTAACTTTTTATTCCGTTGACGTTTTTTTTTCTTTCTTATTTCATAAAATTAGTTTAACTTCTGAACAGTTTATTTCATCGTTTTATTTTTTATCTCATTCGATTTTGCGTAAATAAATAGATAAAATTACATAAGAAGTATCCTTCACTAGTCTCCTCAGAGAATATTCAATTTTCTCCCAGATTACCCACATTTTCCCCAGAAATGGGGTAAGTATACAGCCGAGAGTATATTATATCATTTACGATGGCATAACAAAACTTTTTAATAAAAAATCGTGAAATTAATTTTTTTCTTCACAGAAACTGCCTCTTTCTTGCTATAGTTACTGAACTATATGAAGACAATATTTTTAAGAATAAATATGTGTAGGTAGATTAAGCCTTGAGTTTCATTTGTTTCGATTCAGCAATTTTCAAATAATTGCTTAAAGTTTCTCTGATATTTTATTTTCATTCACATTTACAGGATCGCACTTATTTAGTGTTAAAACAAAAATCTCATTAATTACGTATTAAAAATGTTATCAGTAAATTATATGATATATTAACCATGCAATTTATTAAATACTCTAGCATACAATATTAGTTGAAATTAAAATACTGACCTTTAATGACTATTCCATACAATCAAGCTTCTTTTTCCTCCCATTTAAATTTATCCATGGGAGAGAAACTGGAGCTAAACTATGTCATTGAATAATGTTTTCTCATAAAAAGAACAGATGCGCATTTTTCCTATAAAATAAGGAAACAGTAATTAGTTTCTTAATTTTAAACTGTTTAGTAACAATTTTTCTAAAGATTTCTAGGCAGATGTTTAACTCTACAGTGATGAGAGATTTCTTGTTCATCTTCGTCAGTTGAACTATTTTTCAATTTGAACTCGAACAAGTATTTCATTTATGTAAGTAAACCATATCTGCGTGCATTTCAATAATTTTAGTAGGTCACCATAGGCAAATATTGTCTGCCAACGACAGCCAAGAATATTATTTAATCAAGCTATTCCTGGCATACCTGAATGTCAGCTTAATCAAATTTTATTATTCTGTGAACAACCATGACAAGTGCATAAGGATGAAAATGAAAATTTACTAATACAAAATTATTATAAGCTGTATAGAGCTTAGACTGGATAAACAACAATAAGAATTTCCAGAACATTTGAAGAAGAAAAAAATGCTTAAATGTTTCAATTGTTGCAGGAACGATGAAATACGATTTTGTGCTGCATTTGTGACATACAGAAGAAAGTTATGAAGATTAATTGTATCTCTAAAGCTAACTCTCAGCATTATTTTTGACAAGAAAAAATAGAACATGCGTCAATAACGAGGTTTCTCTTCATAAATTCGTGTCTAGTTTGTATAAGTGATTTCATTTTCTCAGTTTTTAAAATGTCAGATATCTAATTTAGTTTTAGGTTGTGATTTAGTAACTTCGGATGTAATTGACGAGTCAATTGAAGTGTTTTTAAATCTATTTTTATTAAAAGGTGAAATAAAAAGAATAACATAGCGGATTTAGGGAAATATATACTATAAAATTGGAAAATTAAGCACAAGAGTCAACTTTTGATTCAATGATTAAATGTTGAATTTATTAAAGTTGCAATACTTACGGTTTAAGATGAACTAATTAATAATTTCAATTTACATAACAGTTTCTTTTTGACTTTTTATTACGAAGTCGGACATAGAAACGCAATTTATTTGAAAAATATTTAAAAAGAATGAAGGAGTTGCCTCAATTAAGTAATTGATCCAGAATTGACACTCAGTGTTTGTCTTTTTAAAGGAATGAGATTTAATTAAGCGATTATGGTCACATGTTTATGTTTTTAATATATTTATTCCATAGAGGCATATTTTACTATTTTTCACATTTTTGATTAGATTCTTGATGACTGAAAACCAGGTGAGCAAGATTACTGACGAATTTTTAAATATTTCTTAAATTTTGAAAAGGATATTGCAGATGTAATAAGAAAAAGAACTTAAGATGAATAAAAATTGCTAGGAAATTCTTTCAAATATAATCTCAGGTACTAAAACTATATTTGTAAAATCCTTGAACACATTTCTAACTTTGCTTTTCTACTTACTTATGAGAATAATTCCATTTTTTTTTGGTAATATATCAATTATTTTAAATATGCGACATGTATTCTTACATCTCTCATCTCTTTTATTCGTGTAAAAGAAATTTGAATTTAGATGAAAAAAATAGTGAAATAACAATACTCAATTGTTACTTCTCAAATTAAATGTATATTTTTATAGGGGGAAACAAATTTTTGAGACAGTACAATAGCAATAAATACACATTTAAAATTCAATAAATAATATTTATATGAATATTACTTTTTAAGCTAAAATTCAAGGTAAAAGGTAAATTTCTTTTAATTTTGATTAATTTTGTAGGATGATGTTATGCAACCACTATCAATATCATGTTTCAAGAATGATGTAATTAACTCGAAAATGTCTGGATATTTGCATTTGAACTATTATAAAATGCATCTAGGCAGCTAAAAGTAGAAGTACTTAACTTTTGAATTCATGGAATTTAAACTCCAATTTTCCTCTATCTATTTGCTTCATTTAGCTTTCAACTGGAATGGCAGTGACGTAATTTGAAAATGACGCAATGAGAGTTCGAAAAACCTTCTTATTAACAAAATAATCCCTTTCATTCTCATTCTGCTCTTTAAGCCCTGCTCTCAAACAACCCGCACTTTCAAAGGAAAAAATCCTGAAGCGAAAATGAATTTAAAAACTCATTACAAATCTCTAATTGGTCAATTTTCTAGAGTATATTGTCAAATCTTTATACAAATTTCTGTAGAGTATGTCTAGTTTTTGCTTTAACCATAGAAAAAATAAGGATTTAGCCTAATTATATATTTTACCATCCTGTTATAATGCATGAAAGTAAGTGTTTCGCGACGCAACCGCTAAAGCGGCAATATTGCTTCAAACTCAATCATCATTATGCTATAAAATTGGAATGGTAAAAAAAATTAAATAAGTAAAATAAAAATAAAGAGAGAGAAACAGACGTAGCTGCAAACTAAATCTGATGCAAAATCCTTAATCGGCCAAAACAAACAAACAAAATGAAATCAACGAGAGTAGCTCGGGATAGTGAACCCGCATTTATCTGGACGATAAGCTCATAAGGATACGAATTGAAATAATATTAATTTGCAATGACCAGTAAGAGTGATTCCAAACCTCCAGATTCCAAATATTTTACAATTTATTATTTTTTTTAAATACCAATTCTCCGTACCCGGACAAACGTCTAGACTTCGAAATAACCGAACAAATATCTAGACATCTAGTTACCGAACCTGGGCTAACATACATGGGCCATGAACCGAACAAACATCTAGGAGACATCTCCTTGCCCCCAATCACTCATATTCTCAATGAGTATACAAATATCGAAATTATCTATGAAACAACACTTCTGGTAAATGCTTTTCGACTTTTTTGGTGCATTCGCATTATTTAGATGACGCTTTTAATTAGGATCAAGCATACGTATAGTTTATTCTCAGTGCAGTATCCTCTTTCATGGCTTGGGTTGGAGGACTAGTTGGTTAAGGGAGCTAAGCTGGGCAATGTTAAGATTTAGGCATCGCGATGTATCTTTAGTATTGCGTTAATTAGCAATTAGCAAGTAGGTTTTTTAAAAATAAACGTTGCATTTTTTAAAAATTATTTCTCAATACTTAAAGACGTGGATAGCTGCAAAATAGCGGTTGAAAAAACATTAATAGGCTGGATTAATTGTAAGAAAAATTAACAGGATTTGCACAACACTTCGATTCATAATCACATTCGGTTTCATCATGCCAGTAAAACGATAAGTCACGTCTTAATGTTAATGCTTATGAATAAAACAAGTTTTGTGTTTGCATGATGCTTGTAATAACTAGAAATACAACATAACAAAAACAATTGATACGCATGTATTTTTTCAGTATACCTTTCAAAAGCGGGAAATAGAGATTTTTTTCACTACACAAAATTATAAAACTTTTTATTAAATTCCCAAATTTCTTCAAATTTAAATACCTTCGTTGTACTCACGTTATTCAAAATGCACCTACACAAATTAATGTAATGACGAAATAGGCAAATAAAATTACCATAGAGTGGTTTTCACTAATAACCATCGCCTTTTCTATTTCCGTCATAATCATATGACACAACTTCCTATGCATTGGGTGTCGACTTGGACAAAACGAAAATTTCACACAATAAACCCGATTTCGGGTTCAAAAAACACATCACGCATTGATTTATACATGTTTTCATCTTCAATAATTTCCGTGTAACTTAGTGAATTGGAGACAAACTGGGCCAGGATAGCGTCACCCACTACTTCCAACTTAATTTCGCAAAATCACGTGGGCTTACGACGAGAGTGAAAGCATTTTATCAGGGCCTACACCCCTTCCGTATTTACATTAACAGTTAACTCCCCCACTTGGTTTGGGGTGTATCCCCACAAAACTGGAGGAGGGGGTTTGAAATACTTTTCCGCCCCTCAGGCTTAGAAAGTAGTTATTGTTGATCGACCCAGAGAGAGCAAAAGACTATCAAGAGATATCTCTTGAATCGTAGCTATGGTAACGGTAACCATAGGGATAAAACGGTTTCTTTTTTTAGAACAAAAGATGGAATACTGGGCATAAAAGAATAAAAAATTATTCATTCATATTCTAACGCCTTAAATAAAAATATTTATCGATATATGATATTTCTTTATAAATGATATAATTTAAAATATAATAAATAATATATTTATAAATAATACATTTTAAATATTTTTTTCTATATAAATAATTATTTTAAACAATATATTTTACAATTTAAAATTATAGTTGATTCCACTTTTATGAAATAATATCATCTGTGCAATACTTTATTTTGAAGTAGTTTAAAATGAATAATAATAGCAAATACAGAACATTTCGGATGTATTGCTTTTTATGTCTTTTTTTTTCCATATTTTTTAAACTGTTGTGCAAATTACTACTATATAAAGCAATTGCTATTACGAAATAATCTATAGTACAATAAAAATATTAGTAAATCATAAAGTAATTTACTACAAAAAAAGCAATAGAGCTATCAACTGCTATAGTTCCAAATGATACAAAATAAACTGTGGAGCAAATAACTATTATAGTATAGTATAGTAATAGTATATTATAGTAACAGTATATTATATAGTAAAATATTAAAAACTACTTATAGACTACAATACTACAAAATAAATTTGGATAATGAGGAATAAAGTTCGTAGGCAATGTAAATAAAGGAAAAATAAACTGGCTAATCATCGGTAAGCAGTAAATTAATTTACAATGTAAAATCATTAAAATGTACCATTAGTAATTTATGGGGACCGGGATAGCCTAGTTTGAAAGGCACTGGGCTTACGTTCATGGTAATTGAAGTTTGAATCCAGCAGGCCGAAGACCCGTGCAGCAGGCCCGTGTAGTAGAGAATGGTGACTGTACACGTCGGGTTACAAAGTCCTTCATGTTTTCATAACAAAAAAATTCCTATGGGGGTACTGAATTGGATATTGATCATTCTCTAATTCAGGTCAATATTACGGTTTGTGGATGAATAAATGTTTGTATGAATGGATCTGTCCTATGAACGGGTGTGACGCATGGGTGTTGCAGAAGTCGAATCTTTGGTCATCACTGG